TGGTTAGGATCCGCAACCGATGGTTTATTTATTTGGACACATAAATACCGATGGTTAGAGACCTTGAATGACATGGCTCAAAATCGTTTGTAATAACGCAGGTGCATACACTCTTTGTGTTCTCCCAAATTCAAATCTTCTGAATTCTTCATGTCCCTTCTTTTTTTTGTTTGCGAATTGATTTCACTGGATTATACTCCTTCAATAATATCTTCAAACCCTTATGTTACTGATTACTGCTGATACTCTTACTACCTCTATCACTACGGGATTTGAATCGATAACTGCATCTCTGTGCTAATGTGATGTGATATGGCAACTCGAACTGATGTACGTACTTACTTATATATATATACATGTATTCGATACTGATGTTATACTAGCTAACCAAATAGTCAGGCATAACACAACTTGACATTACCCGAAAAACCTTTGATAAAAAGCTCAGAAGCCTAATTAGCGTATGAATAGAGCCGTACAGGTATTGTACAAATTAAACATACTAGACACTAATAAAACAATCTCTAACACAGAGAAACGTCGATTCCAAATGACACCATTGTGTCCCATTACAACTCAAAGACTATATCATCAGGTCGGGGAATCACTTACACCCTGCTGATAACACTTCGAACTGGAATCCATCCCAATATTACGTTCCCGGATTAAACTATGAAAGTCGAGCGATCTAATTTAAAAACGACCTAAGAATAGTAGGTAGTATTACCTTCCAATTGTCTTGACTATTGTAGTTTAATAGGATGGGTGACAAAACATATTGATCCTACTGTTTAGGCGTTTACTGCCGTACTCAAACCTAAACGCTGAGGACTTATCGTTAAATTGTTATTATGATCACCGTTAGAGAAATGTATTTCGGTTGATAGTTTCCAATTTACAACCTAAATTGATTTTCCCGTTATTTGAGTAGAAGTGTGTACGTGAATCAAGACCTGATTGTAGATCTGATGCAAATTAGATAGATGCTGATTTTCCTAATGATCCTTTATTCTCCAATGCGATTTCTAATAAATTTGAGGAAGATACACCAAAAGAACCAAATCCTGATGATGTCATGTATTATTTGTTTCTGGTGGAAAACGTGGTCAATGTGAAGCTGTGCCATGGCAACATAATTAATGAGTAAATCTGAACTGTTTAATCCATTTAATGTATCACATATTTGCACAATAACAATTACATTTAATTGTTCTAATTAGTTGTCTTGTCTGATGAACAATTAACTGAAATAGCAAAATAACACAAATATTCACCGATCAGAGGTGATAAATTTATTCTCACACCTCAGATCCACTTGTGAATAAATACAATGTTATCATAACACACCTTTTGTTATAAACAATACAGCAAATATTTTAGAGGTTGTTAACGTGGTTCGATAACCTAATTAATACACCGTTTAACGAGCGATCTCGCACCTATTTATATTCGATAATTTTGATTATATTTCCGTAAAAATGCTTGGACCAGATTGCCAAGCGAATCTTTGGATTGACTTCATATTCAATCAGAGATTCTAGAGATATATTCTTCTTCCTTAATGTCTTACATTGACTCAGCACCCAAATACTGTAAAACTATTCGTTCAAATTTAGTCGAAAGTGCTTATAAACCTGTTTACCAACACTAGTGTTTTTGTGTAAAATCAAATTATTTTACTGACGTTTAACTCATCTAAGTTGAGATGGATACTGTCAACTGTTTTTTGGAAGAAAAAGCTAAGTTTCAGTAAGATCTCATTTAATACACTGAATCTCATAATTTTGCCTGAATGAATAGACTTTAAAACGTTCTTTAGCCTAAACTTCAAGCTTGACTTGTTTAACATTGAGATGTAATCGTACGGTTTTTTTATTACTGTATATTATAATCCGTTAACATTTTATCCATGTTTAAAATGAAAGTAGTAATCCTTACCATGTTTTTTTGTTGGGCAAATAACATTTACTCCTGACATGTATCTACATCTTGAGACCCGATATAGGAAGTGGTGATTAACTAATAAATTCTAATGTTATGCAGCATTCTCTCGTCATACAATCATAACTTTGTGAATGAATTAAAGATTAGATAATAAAACTAATTCTAGTTATTATCATGCACATATATATTTAGATTTCACTAAGAGCTGACAGACACTTTCATCTGTAGTGTCAGTCATTAGTTTTAGCTCATAATATACCTTATTCTAGTTTTCGGACATACCATTCTATTCGTTCTACTTGAGTCATACTTTGACCTTGTTAATTATTCGCTTGTCAGTCTTCATTGTTTTTATATGAGCGTATATGTGTGCACGCTTCATATCCCATGACTCACCACATGTCTGCGTTGCTTCTCTTCCTTTTATTCCATTCACCTCATATACAAAATATATGTATTCAAAATCCCATTCTCGTTATGACTTATTTAATTCCGTTATTGGATAATATGATTTAAGTCGACGATGATATACGAGAATAAGCGATAGCAAACATCCATACAATCTAAATTGAAGTCAGATCGACGGGCCACTAAAATGGTAACCCTGACGTGAGAACAGGAAATGGCGGGTCACTAAACATCAACATCACTATCTTAGATCGCCGACTACCAACACTCTCCATTCAATCTTGTCGTAGGCAATCTTTTCTAACTCTTTTCAAATGTTTATTTTGAATATATATATTGGAGTCAGATCCACGAGCTACTAAAAAGGTAACCCCGACGTGAGAACAGGAAATGGCGGGTCACTAAACATCAACATCACTATCTTAAATCACCGACTACCAACACTCTCCATTCAATCTTGTCGTAGGCAATCTTTTCTAACTCTTTTCAAATGTTTATTTTGAATATATATATAATCCTCATGTATATAAATGACATCATAATAATAAAACAGACATTTTGAGCACCGAAAAACAAGAAGAAGAAGATTTATTTATTAATTCACAAATACATAATTAAGAATAATAATAATAATTTATCATGGAATTGTATTTGTGTGATAAACATTATTATTATTATTATGAAAGAGACAGACAAACAGACAGAGGAACAATACAATGTCAATCTAATCATGTGTTTAGACTAAATATAAGTGAAAACTGAAGTTAGATACTGCATACAAAAATGAAATAAGAATAAGACTAAGCAAATCATACAAATGGAAAATATTCTCTTCACAAAACAGAAGATATACATACACCGTCTCTCTTTCTTTCTTTCTTTCTTTCTTTTAATATCATTTGATTACGCATAATAATTATGTAATATAACTTGTGCAATAATAAACAACAAATGAACCAATATAAGTGATTAATTGTTGAATGAATAAAAAAGAGTCAAATATAGTATGTTTTAGTTGATGATTAGTACTTCCTGTCATCAGATAATCCACTACAAGTAAATTAGAATAATAATAATAAAGATAATTAAACGAATATCATTATGAATAAATAAATAAATATATTTGTAATATAACAATGATATTTCGTGACTTAGTGTAAGTCACCTCTTCAGAGTGAATAAACAGTCAAATTAAAATGAATCAAAGTTTAAATAGTACAATGGAACAACACAAGAATAATATTTGATCAATCAAAAACAGGTCTGAACAAGTTAATATGAATTAATTTTAATTTAATTATTTATTTGCTCTGAAGAAGCGGCTTACACTAAGTTACGAAACATCAGAAAATTTAGTTTTTCTACTCATTATTTAATTATAACAATCTACTCGATGCTCAACTTATTCGAAATTATCAAATCAAACTTTGGTAATGATTCCATTAATGAATATCATTATATGTGTGAAAATTATACTTGAAATAATCTCAGTGATTGAAATTCAAAATAACAATTCCAATGTTTCGCGGTCCAGCTATCTTGTTTGGACTTCTTCAGGTTAGAATTAATCAAAATCATGAAAGAAATATATTTCAAAACAACATTCAAATTTGATTGGTTTAACACAGTATAATTTTGATTATTCTAACCTGAAGAAGTCTAGACAAGTTAGCTGGACGCGAAACATTGGAATTGTTATTTTAAATTTCAATCGTTGAAATTATTTTAAAAATAATGACTTCTCTATATTTGGCGCCCAATTTCTGTCAAACTATTTATTCTAATCTTGACGAATACTTTTACAAATCATAAACAAAATAATGCGAATATATATTAGAACATGAAAACATTTCTTAATGACAGGTAACTGTGTTCACTAGTATGAGTCTTGTCATAGAGTAGATAATAAATGTTATTACACCATAAAACTTTTACATAAAACTGATAATGGTTTTTGAGAGGATCGTTTTAGTTGTGATTAATTTTGACTAAAAATTCAAAGAACTTTGTGTGGGACTCTTGACTAATTTAAAGCTATCTGAGTTGTGATTACCATAAGAACACAAGTTTTTTATGAGGGCTGGTAGATTGACATAGACTGAAAAACATTAAAGTAGAATGGGTTTACTGTGCAGAAGTTCGTTCCGTCCTACTTTATGGCAGTGAAACATGGACTGTAAGAGTAGAGGATATTCGTAGGTTACTAGAATTCGATCATAAGCACCTCCCAAGGATTGCTCGTATATCCTGGGACCATCGAGTAACTCAGTTGTTATGAAACGCGTACTAGGTAAGGATAGCAAAATAAATGATGAATTAGTGATATGTATGCTCAACTGCCTACTGCCCCGACGTGCGATGTTTTCTGGTGTAGAAGTAGGTTGGAAGGGAGCTAGGAGCGATCGGACCAAAACATAGCACAAATCCATGAAGTCACCGACAAATGGATTGAACCATGTTGGTAGGTGTAGACTATCTGGTTAGGATCCGCAACCGATGGTTTATTTATTTGGACACATAAATACCGATGGTTAGAGACCTTGAATGACATGGCTCAAAATCGTTTATAATAATGCAGGTGCATACACTCTTTGTATTCTCCCAAATTCTAATCTTCTGAATTCTTCAAGTTCCTTCTTTTTTTGTTTCCGAATTGATTTCACTGGATTATACTCCTTCAATAATATCTTCAAACCCTTATGTTTCTGATTACTGCTGATACTTTTACTACCTCCATCACTACGGGATTTGAATCGACAATTGTGTCGCTGTGCTAACGTGGTATGGGAAATTGAATTGATGTACATACGTACGAAGTTCTACATTGTTGCTGACTGACTGAAAGTAGAATGAAACAGGTTGCTAGTCTTCAACTAGTTGATCAGTTGAACGAATTCTGAGTTGAAAACTGTTATAGACATTTTGCTCGGACCGGTCATCTAGCGATCATTAGGGGGGTTTCATCATCGAGGTTTTAGGATGAAATATTTATAATTAGCCATGTCAATCACTCCAAACCGATCTCAATGACAAGCCACCGTTGCGTATACAAGACCAAACACCCATTAACAAATAGATAAAGTAGGACAATACTATTTCAAATGGGTTGAAGAAAAATGATTATGCAAACCAATTTTTTAAACAAGAACATACCTAGAAAGTCGTGAAGGGAATCCTGAGCTACCAAAAGGTCGTTTCCTTTAGAGTAATGAAAAAAAATATGGAATTCATTTGGGAATCTTTCAAAGCAACAACAATAACTGGTTAGTGGAATGACATGATCATCAAACTATGTGATACATATTATGGCAATACAAATTTCCCACAATGCCATTACAAGTTACTTGTTAAGATTCGTTATAAAATAAATTATATATACACCTTTAAAGCATTTACTGGAAAATAGAGCATCAACAATGAGAATTCCGTTTCTCTAAGAGTTGTCCTCAATAATTTACAAAACTGTAGACAAAATATAAGTGAACAACCTAATTGTTTAGCATTTACATTTTTTAAAAACTCGTTACAAAATAAGGCACCATGATGGATGTCACACACACACGCAAAGAAAATAGGAGTGCAAGAACTGTAAGTAACAGTAAAAACTGAAGTAAGGAGTATTATCTACTCAGCTCAACAAGAGTCAAAGCATGAAACTGAATCAATTTGCTAGCAAAATTACTGAGTTGGAATTGATATCGTCGCTGAACAATTAAATCAATACGTGAGAACACTAAAGATGTTAAGCTTTGACGGGAAGTGCGGTGACCTAAGGCTGATCTCTCTAAACATTGCTTGGCATATACATCTAAAACATAAGGCTACTTGACAGAATGAAATTGATGGTGGACTATTGTTCACTCACATGATAAATAAGTGAATAGTTGGGGTGTGAAACCTGAAAACTGATGATTTCTGACTTTATGGGCAAGAATTGAACTAGATAGTCAGGTCTTAATTATATGGGCAAATTAGTGACCCACAAAATACATTAGTAATAGCCCATTTGATATTTATTTATTTGAACACATAGATATTGGTATAAGGAAGCATCAAATAGATATGCGCCACATAATTTGTGTGAGGGCTGTAATACTGCCCGGATGTCCAAACCGAAGCAAGTGGTGTTCTTAAGGGACCACACCCGGAGCCTTCGACCTGAAGGTCTGATCCACAAGGCAATGGAGCATCGTAAGGAGATGCATTCCCATGTTAGCCGGTGACCAATGATTGGTTCATACGCCATTTGTTCTTTCAGGATACTGTAGGCCATGTGTACCATTGGTTTGGAATCAGGGTTTTCCAACTACCCTAGGTGGACTCTCCGTGTCCACCGATCTAGTTAAAGCGCCGGACATTCGCTTTTCGTACACCCGATTTCGTAAATAACAGCCCCGCCACGAGAAGGTAATGAGTAGGGCTTCCCTGGTGGAGGCTAAAAACGCGTGGCCATGTGAGAGCATTTGGGGGCTCATTCGATATAGGATATCTCATATATTTATTTTATATTCAGATATTGTATTCCTACATGACAAAAACGAACTATGCTGATTGTGTTTTATCACGATTTACATCTATGTGCTGGGATCAGTAACTTTGTTTCGTGAGGAGCTACCACTCGATTACATTGTATAGGTGCACACAGCAACCAATCGATTTATTAACATAAACCATAGCCAGACTTCTGAACAACGGGAACAGTGGTAAAAACACTGAGTTTAACCAACAGATTGCAAGTCTGACCATTATACTATTAATAAGGGTTTGGAAACCAATCAGTAGTAGTGTGTAACTAGACATCACTTAAACAGCACTTTGTGAATAAATTCCATTATCATCATATCTTTTAGATCATACACGAAGGTACAAATAACTTTTATTTCAACGGGCGATGTTTGCTAGTGTAGGAGCGAGCTGGAAAGAAGCTCGAGGTAGCCATACCAAAAACGTAGCATCAATCCATAAACATAATGATCACTGAACTTGAACCACGTACGTAGGTTTAGACTGCCTGGCTAATTTCTGTGCAATAAATGCGACCAATAGATGGAGACTTTGTACAACACGGTTGAGAATTGGTTCACGTTTTCTCATCTTTTCAATTATGACTTAAAGTATCCTTTCAATCCCAACCCTCTGAACCATATTCCCAATATTGATTGCTACTACATTATTCTGATCCTGCATAACTCATCATGTTACATTCAACTCGTCCTACTATAGCATAGTTAGTTGAACCAATGCACATATTCACCAAGAATTATGCTGATTATGACTAATTGTTGATACACAAACCGACGATGATCATTGACCAATTATATACCAATATGAAAAAAATGTAATTCTACAAATTGAAACACTTCGATAAAATTTATGGCATGTATGAAATCAGTAGTTGAACTGATCATATCGAAATTATGGAGATTTACAAGTACACAAACACACTTTATCTTAATATATCCTACAAACACTTTGATCTAAGGTCAATTCACGAAATGTGAAGTTAATTTGAATTTCGAAACAAATTGACATAATGAAACGAACAAAATCAACATAAAACTTACACATTACCACCTCTCATTTCTTCAAAAACTTGTGATTTGCCCGCTGTGGCATTTGGACCTCTATATAATAAACGAAAATAGGTTAAGGAAAAAAAATCATGAGAACTATTCAGATCAAATAAGGGACAAGAAGAATGACTTAGTGGTTTAGGCAATTATTGAGGTATCCCACTGATTTATTTCGGTTTGGCCAGTTGCATAGAATCACAAACTTTTATACAAAGTAACTTGGAACGCGAACTATGTAAACCTGGTTATCCGGGGTGAATCCGCAATCTAATAATTAAAGGTATTTAACTTTAATGACGAAACCATTTATATTGTTCAAGACATTAAGATATTATTGCTATCACTTACATGCAAGGCGTAACTGTTTTAAAATGAGCACAAAAACCCTTACACGGTTACCGAGTTACAGTATTAAATCGATTAAGTAACCTATAACCTTGTTACCACAATGATGAAAAGTATTTAAGTTTCATTGGAATTTCGTACTAATTGTGATAGTGAAACAAGGCCTTCAGAATAATCAATGAATTTCTGTAATTCAATGCAGTAATTTGACCGTAGAAAGTGAATAGCTACTCAAAAATCTGACTGCACAAAAACTACTTTAGACGAACTTACTCTCTACGCCATGGAGTTGAGCTACCAGTGTCCATATCCAGATTTTTAGATCTAGGAGAATAAGTGGAAAATAAAACAAAACAAAGGAAATTTAATAAAGATCTGTAAAAGAAATTATGAAAAGACTATGGAAATGGATACGTCGGGAAATAGAATCAGATATGAAAAGGATGAATAACAACTGGAAGGAGCTGGAAAGGATTGCCCAGGACAGGGTTGGATGGCGAATGCTGGTGAGCGGCCTATGCTCCTTCTCGAGGAGTAACAGGCGTAAGTAAAAGTTATTACTTAAATTAAAACTGAAATGCACTAGTAAATTGATCTAAATTTTTGTTCAGAATATCTATCATATACGAAATAATGTTTCAGTGAATTAATAGAACCATGAATAATGTTATGCTGCGTAGTGTCTGATTCTGGTATACGAGTCCGATCAGCTACTTCAATAAGAAATACAAGAGTAGGGAACTGATATAAGAAATATGTGAATATTCATTAGTATATACATCTTTGTCCCCAATAAAGTAAAGCTGAAATTCAAACTAATGGGGTGTAAATGATCACTTAAAAAGGAGGTCGAATCCCAGCCAACAGCATGCCCTTATCATCTGAGCTACATCTGACTGATCTAGATGGTACTGTTCGAGAAAAGATACACGTGGTACATGTAATAAACTGACTCAATTCAGGGTCATTACAGTTGATTCTGAACCATGTAACCCGTCTTTAACCACTGATCGTGGTACCAATACAGCTGAATTTAACAGTCTACAATTTCATAAACTGATGTTTGAGCTCTTTAAATTTTCTATTCCAACTTAATCTTACTTTAGTCAACATTATGTGTTGAGGTAAGTCATGATTGAATATGTCTAGCACATATCATTGTCAATTCAGACGGTAAGAATTCAAAGATGTATAGTCACCACCCAATAATCTATATCTCACTTCAGCATTACTCAGTGATTTCACTATATGCAAGCGATGCTTTGAAGACACTTGAAACTCAAGTATGTTTTACTCCAACATAAACTCTACATGTTGAATTATTATTTTTGTTAACAGTAGCTGATACCTTGAAGTGTTTTCTTTATCGTCGCTTATCATAAAAGTACAAAAAGCCGTATTAATTGGAGTATTGTTGCATAATATTGACTGAATTTATGCTTTACTAAATTAGCACATCAGATTCGGATAAACTGAAAATTATTAAATTGACTAGTTGAAATCATGAGTCAACTGAAGCTAGACCACCATGGAAAACCTGGAAGCACTAAACGGCCGTTTTGTCCTAGTAAGGGACTCCTCTAAAATCACAAAATCCCTTCTGAAAATTATAAGTTTAAAACAATCTATAAGATTTGACAAGTTAATTTGATAAATCTTTATCATTATTGTTGAAAGTAAATGAGACAATCAATTAGAACTTATATAATAACTGATTAAATGTAAAGAAAAACAAATAAGCAATCAGTCAGGATATGTATCTCTTACGCTCTATTGAATCCACCACCCATTGTACTACCACCTCTACCGAATGGTCTTGTTCGTTCAGTTTCTATAATTATTTAAGAAAAGAAATACATTAATTGCCGAAATAAATCGATGAGAATGTTTATAGCATACATGGTTCATAATACCAAAAAGAATAAATATACATATGCTGAAGAAGTTAACAACAATGATTTGTCATATAGTGGGTCTGCGAAACCACATCATCAAGTAAGACAGACGAATTATTACATAATAATCATTTCGAAAATATATGAAATACAAACATTAGATTGGGGCGGTATATCAAGACAGTGAAATTAGTAGCTTATATCCCAATATACAAAAAACAAAGAATAGATAACAAATAAAAAACGTTACTTGGAAATTAGGTTCATAAGATGACGTAATAAATGAAAATAGCTCAAAATAATTGAGGCATATAAGGAATCTAATTAACTATTTTGTTGAGATTACAAACTGGTTTTAACTAGACCATCATTGGAAACGTAGAAGCATGAGTATAGGACTTCACAGCAGTGCATATTCATGATCTCTCAACTAAAAATCAAACCCAGGAACCTTAGTCTGACTCATGAGTACCTAACATATAGACAGCTGAGCCGAGCATTTGATGGTATACAAATATAACTTTGATCGATAAATGATACTGTCTGACCGTCTTTCATTGACTTTAGTGGGTATCTTCCTCACACTTCAGTGGACACAGCTTCGTATTAGAACCTCGGGAATTTTCCCCCGAAGTAATTCACTAGCGAGTACATGATAATTAACAGCATGGGGTTGCGGACACTGTTGACTTTCATTGAAACCATAAATAAAATCTAGGCAACCGTAGAAAACCGAGGTATGAGGAACAATAAAATATAGTCAAGCACTATCATGGAGCGATTCAAGTCAGACTTGTACACGATTAGATGCCCAGTAGTCTAAGGGTTAGGCGATTGGGGATGACACCGAGAGTTCTGGGTCCTACTCCCGGTTGCGGGATCAGGTATACCCACTACTGTGGAGCCCTAGTCTAGCAAGAAACACGTGTTTAGGGCTTTGAGGTTTTCACTGGTTGTCTAACTAAGATCAGTTCGTGATTTTAATAAAATTCGGCAGTCTCCACAACCCCATCCATAAAACTATTTTATCATTAGTAGATAGAAAATGTTTCGAGATCAACAAGCTGGATTTCGTAAGGATCGATCATGCACAGACCAAATTGCAACACTATGGATCATCGTCGAACAATCAGTTGAGCGGAACTCATCACTATACATCAACTTCATTGATTATGAAAAAGCATTCGACAGTGTAGATAGGAGGACATTATGGAAACTTCTTCGACACTACGGAGTTCCTGAGAAGATTGTCAACATTATCCGGAACTCATACGACGGACTACAGTGCAAAGTAGTGCATGGAGGACAGCTGACAGATGCATTCCAAGTAAGGACCGGAGTCAGACAAGGCTGTTTACTCTCTCCCTTCCTCTTTCTTCTGGTGGTCGACTGGATTATGAAGACCTCGACATCTGAAGGAAAACACGGAATTCAATGGACAGCTCGAAATCAATTAGACGATTTGGACTTCGCAGATGACCTAGCCCTCCTATCACGTACACACGAACAGATGCAGATGAAGACAGCCAGTGTAGCAGCAGTCTCTGCATCAGTAGGCCTCAGCATACACAAAGGGAAAACCAAAGTCCTCGAATTCAAAGCGGAAAACAACAATCCAATCACTCTTGATGGCATCATCGATGAACAAGGAGGTTCAGATGCAGATGTAAAGGCAAGGATGGGCAAAGCAAGGACAGTATTCCTACAGTTAAAGAACATATGGAACTCAAAACAACTTTCAACCAATATCAAAGTCAGAATCTTCAATACCAACGTCAAGGCAGTTCTACTGTATGGAGCTGAAACTTGGAGAACTACAACAACCACAATCAAGAAAGTACAAGTATTTATAAATAGCTGTCTACGCAAGATACTCAACATCCATTGGCCGGATACCATCAGCAATAGTCTTCTGTGGGAGAGAACAAACCAACTTGCAGCTGAAAAAGAAATTAGGAAAAGACGATGGAAATGGATAGGACATACATTACGCAAATCGTCAAACTGCATCAAGAGGCGAGCCATAACTTGGAATCCTGAAGGGAAGTGAAAAAGTGGAAGGCCAAAGAACACATTGCGTCGGATTATAGAAGCAGATATGAAAACGATGAATTACAACTGGACGGAGCTAGAAAGGATTGCCCAGGACAGGGTTGGATGGAGAATGCTGGTGAGCGGCCTATGTTCCTTCACGAGGAGTAACAGGCGTCCTTATTATTATTTCCTTATAGATAGAAAATGTAATCAAGGTCCATACAATGCTATAAGTAAAAGCCGACTGTTTCAACCAATAAGTAATACAACGGTGATTAGTTGGCTAAAATAGCTTTTCACAGTAAGAAAATATTGGAAGATTCGACGAATCAGCACTACTCAACAGGTCAAACCTATTTGAACGTGTCTAAAATCTATGTGATATTATATTATATGAGCTGATAAAGATAAGTGAGACAAAGCAGCATGGAAGTACGTGAAAACTGGTCATTAAATTAAAGCTATTGGATAAAAATATATAAGGTAACAGCAAACTAAATGCTGAATTAGAATCATTAAAAATTAAGATACAAATTAGTTAGAGATTGTCACAATATAAAATAATATTTGCATAAAAGATGCCAGGTTCAATTGTGAATAATACTACTACTACTAATAATAATAATAATAATAGTAATAATAATAATAATTGTACAGATCGATTAATTGAAACCACATTAGAATTTCAGGATTAAAGATCAGTACGAATTTCGAATGCTATAGGTGTACAGATGATGGACAATGACACTTTAAGTGAATTCGTATGTTTTCTTTTTGAGTAATTTGGAATACTTCGTCAATAGAAAATTAAAAAGGTAGACTGTCATCTGCTTTGGCGACCTCAAGTGGTGTACGTCAAGGCTGTTCCGTTTTCTCCATTTTTGTTTAGCTTCATCATAGACCTACTGATGGAAATAACACTCTCGTCGACTGAATTCTCGGGTATTGATGTCCTACCAGGAGGTTCACTTGTCGACTTAGAATACGCAGATGACATAGTCCTGTTTGGTGAAGACACTGACAAGATGTATAGTCTTTTGGTAGCACTAAGCAACATTGCCAGAATGTTTGGAATGCGCTTCTCTCCCTCCAAATGCAAGTTGTTGCTTCAGGACCGGTCTGCATCAACACCTGAACTATGGATAGGGAATGAAGTAGTCGACCGCGTTGACAACTTTACTTGTCTTTGGAGTCTGATCAACCGAAATGGGTTAGTGTCTGACGAAATCTCAGCACGGATTAAGATAACTCATTTAGCTATTGCCTACTTACGTTACCTACGGTGACGGCGAGATATCCACCTAGCAATCAAGGAACGTGTATATTGCGCAGCAGTTCGTTTGTTCTAATTTAGGGCTGCGAAACGTGGCCATTAGAAGTAAGAGATACTCGTAAGCTACTAGTACTTGATCACAGATAACTTAGAAATAGTACCATAATCTTCTGGTATAACCGGGTAAATAATAGTGAGCTTGGACACAGGATATTAGGGATTAATGGTAAATCATTTGTGAATCTTCATCGATTGAGATGGTTGTGTCACATGTTACGTATGCCTGAACTCCGGTTACGACGACGCGCAATGATGACTAGTGTTGGGGATGGCTGAAAGAAAGTTAGGGGTGGCAAAACCAAGACGTGGCATCAGTCCACAAAGTCACTAACTACTAGTCTAAGCCTTGTTGGTAGATGGAGACTACTCGGTTGAGGCCAGCGTAACTATTGTAACCAATGGTTGGAGACTCTTGGTGATATGGTTCAGAACCGATCACAATGGTGTAGGTGTATACACTCTCTGTCTTCCCTTAAACTAAGAGATTAAAATCACTTCATATCTTTCTACATACTAAATCTTTCTTCCTGTAATGTGTCCTTATATGCAATCTTTCTTGTATACATTACCACCACTTAATTAACTACTCCTATGAATCCGGTGTTCATCTTGTTGTGCTAATGCGGTATGGCAACTTGGAAAGATGCAGATATGTGTATGGTCATACGTTGTAGCTGACTGACTGACTTTGTTTAGAAACACTAAATTCAGTATGAACAATCTGAAAAAAATTACGACTAATAAATAACCCAGGAGAGAGCCTTAAACGGTAAATAAGTGATAACCGATTGGTCCTGTTGTGCCGCGCTTTATTTAAGCAAGTAAAATGGCACTGATGGAATGGAAGTTTGAATGGTGACGAAGAAAATGTCTGTCAATAGTAATCGTAATATCTGTGTTTGAGCTGAAATACTGACGAAACAGAATCGTTTTTTTACAGGGCTACATAACCTAGAGGACAAACCCACAAGAGGGTAAAGCAACGTCAGGTGATATAATTCCATGGTGGCCGGTGACTAAAACAGGTTCGTATAATAGTTCTTCGTTTAGTATCCTAGAAACTGTGAAGGGTATTGGTTTGGAATTAAGGTTTTTCAACCATAGCTATCTTTATTCACCAACTTGATTTAAGCTTCACAAGTCAGCTTTTCTACCTTTCACTTTCGTGAAAACATCCTTTCAGTGAGAAGGATTTCCCTGTAAGAAGTTGTAGACTTTCAGTCGTATAAGAGCATTTAGAGAATAAGTTTCCAAAAGCAACAAAAAACGTACCTCTACGTGATCCAACCTGAGTCCAACCGCCAGCGTTACCAGAGTCATCTTCATATAGAAGCGAATCAAATTCAGAAGGAACAGCTAAAAAAGCGAAGATTTCAGTAGCGAAAGATCACAATACTATATATATATATATATATATATATATATATATATATATATATATATATATATATATATATATATATATAGAATAATGCTTTAACTTACTTCTTCGTGGACCACTTCGACTCCAAGTATCTTTGGAAGAATCACTACGGAGAGTTGGTGTATTATCGAAACCAACTATATATGTATATGTAAATAAAATGAGAAAATTTTGTAATAAAGGGATTTTTCGCACATGAATAAAATGATTGTTTTTATTAGGAAAAAAAATATCTGATTTACCTCGTTTACTTCCCGATGACCGACCAAAATCTGAATATCTTGACGTATCATCACGTCGAAAGTCTAAAATGAAATTAAAAACGATAGTTTGTAAATTTGTGTTAGCTTCAGGAAAAAGAGGTGTTGTATATTCCAAAAGCACCAGGAAACACGAACAAACAAACACACAACTCATGAGTATATATACAGTACAAAAATGTTCTTGGAAACGTTACAAAAGTGGAAACGAACTAATGACATTTATGGTCCTTCCAATTGGGAAATACAAACTGGCGGTGAAAATGGGTATTTTTGGTCGAATATGAGAAATTCAAATTTCCAAAATGAAATTACAAGAATGAGAAGTTTACCGTGTGTTTATTGGTGATCTACCATCCTCAAACAAACCATACTAACAGCTTTTAGTTATTCTAAACATCATAAGTTATACTACTATTATTTCAACTGTTGTACACCTTGTTACTTATTTATATTTCACTGCGTCAATGCGTCATTGCATCAAATGTTGAATTGGTTATATCACCAATCAAGAATTAGTAGTACGGTCTGGCGACAACAAACAGATGATAAATGTGAAATTACTATGTTTCACGTTCAAACACTAGAAAAACTAAACTGAACAGATTAGATCCATATATGACATTAGGTAGTTGAGACAAAAGATTAGATCATATGATGAATAAATCCTACCAACAATAAAAAACGAAGTTTTATAGATCAGAATAACTAATTATTGACATGAGTTATAAGTAATCATATAAAGTAAAATCCAGAGTAGAATATAGTGAAATCAGAGTCATGTATATAACATTCACTTATATTCCTATACCCGAATATGTTTTTTTTAATTTAAGTTAAAAGCGTAAGGTCACGTTGTCGTTGCATTACTATCTCACTATGACTTGTATTTAGTGACAATTACTCCGCTCATAAATCTTAGTAATTACAACTGACTAACTAAAAATGTTATTTTACTTATATTGAAGCCATTACAGGTAAGTAAAGTTCCATTACAAAACTGAATGTTCCTCTCTCTCTCTCTCTAGTTAATGAATGGGAAGTGGTAGGAAACAAAAAGGCAGAATTAATTTTGCTCATTGTAAATAACTTTGAGTTGCACGAATGCATTAAATTCTTATAATCCAATAAACTTTAAAAAAAAACTTACCACGAAATGCGTTACCAGAGGCACTATTAATTTCAGATTGACGATGTCGAGCAAAAGGATTAACCGATACAGGTTCATCTGAATATTGTTTTTTTTTTCATTTTTCAAACAAAAAAAAAAGAAATTATTAATCAGTCTAGTGAATGAATATTGAAAAGGAAGCAAATAAACCCAACAGTTATAAATTCACATACATGTATTGATATCAGCTTCAGATTTCTCAGTAGATAATTGTTCACTTGTCATAGTAACTAAATTTTGGGTATGAATTTTGAAAGATGCATGTTTTACGTACAGATAGGAACGGTAAAAAATAGATAGAATAACAATTGATTTAAGAATTATTTCTTTTCATTCACAAGCATATAATTTTAATTCTATGGCTCTAAACATAACGGTCCATTTAAATGAAAAATATTCCAAGTGAGCTGAGCTATGTTGGTAGGTGTAGACTACCTGGCTGGGATCCGCGAGATGATAGCAACCGATCGTTAGAGACCTTGAATGACATGGCTCGAAATCGTTTGCAATGGTGCAGGTGCATACACTCTTTGTGGTCTCCCGAATTCTTCATGTCCCTGTTTTCCTCTTTCCAAATTGATTTCACTAGATTATACTCATTGAATAACATTTTTAAACCCTAATCTTTCCGATTACTGCTTATACTCGTACTACCTCTACCACCATGGAATTTGAATTGACAACTGCATCTCTATGCTAATATGGTATGGCAACTCGAACCAATGTACCTACATACGAAGTTCTACGTTGTTACTGACTGACTTATATAAACAGAATATAGGTAACAATGCCAAGGCTGAACATGATCAAGTCAATAAACAGTTTTTAATAGAAAAAAACATTCAATAATTAAAATTCTGTGGTGTCCAATTCAGTGGAAATTTGGATTTTTGACGTTTGATGATGACTTAATGTAAGTCACTTCTTCAGGGTAAATAATAAAATAATAATAATGTAAACTTGTATTGATTCAATCCGGTCATTTGTTTACAGTGAAGAAAACGACTGACATTAAATTATAAAACGTCAGAAATCTAACTTTCTACTCATTGGGATATTAACAAGAATAATGACTGTTCTAATTTATGGGTTTATTGTTTCTGCAAAAGGTTCTGATTTAATGAAGATATATATGTATCTACAACGTAGGACCAGGCACATATGCATCGGCCCAAGTTGCCATACTTAATTAGCCATGTACCTATGAACTACCTAGCCGCGATCCATGCCAATCGGTGATCGGAGACGGGCGAGATAGTTCGGAATCAGTCACAATAGTCTATGCGCATTCACTATTCCTCTTTCCTAACTTACTTACTCCTGTAAACATAGGCCGTTTACTAGTATTCTTTTTCCTTAGAACTTATAAACTTTATTTAAATAAACCACTTTTTCCTATGTATAATTTTTTAAATACTAACACTTGCACTACATTGACAATTTTTTTTGATTTTATCTCTCTGTGATGATATAGTGTGACATCTTGAACTGATCCACATATGTTCCACCTCATATATTGATGATAACTGATATTTTGAAGCACAGGTTAGGTACGGCTTATTGTAAGTGTTTTGTGTAATCAATTTTTGTATGGAATTTTCTAATGAACCAACTGGTGGTTGATTAACCAACAGAAAAGATAACTAATTTTGCCACATTCATGGATATGTAAAAATCCATCTCTTTCTTAGGAGATGATTTTGTGCATGCCAGTAAACTCATAATTTAATCAAAGGTTTAAGGAGTATTTTGCATAATCATCTAGGAAATATATATGAGATGGTGGAGAAGATTTGTAGCTCAGGTGGGAAATTTTGATGGAGTTTTATTCTCTGAGCTGGATAGTTTGGTAGGGGAGCTTTCATGGTTATCCATATGTATATGGAGAAATTCGAACACTTCACTTCTGTCTGAAGTTTGTGCTTGTGATGTCGTTCAGAAGAACGATAAAAACTCCACGACCACACCATCCAGCTCAGAGAACAAAACTCCATCAAAAAGGAAATATATATCCATGCATGCCATATATTTAGTCTATAAATCTAGAGTATTCAGAATAATTCATTACATTATTTTTAATAAGGTTTGAACTTATCATTTACGAACTGAAAACTACAGGGATATGAGTCGATTAACTTGAAGTTATATCTCTTTCTTGGTCAGGGAAGATTTACTAAACCTTTGATAAGTCTTACTGATAGATTTTATGTTAAAAGTAGATATTTTTTACAACTTAAAGACAGAATGCATTTTAAGGAGAATGATATCAGCTATGAAGTTGTTGTCAACCGGAAAGTCATTAATAACTATAGGAAAATAATTTGTCCAAAAGTTCAGTTTTTTTTTACTAATTTTCTAGGCGTACACATACTTAGATAAGAAAATTGAATTTAAATGAAAATGTAGTTCAGCATGATTTTTCATTAGTTTTAATTGCTTCTTATCAATCAGTCAGCTACAACGTAGGACCGGGCACATCTATGCATCCATCCAAGTTGCCACACCTTATTAACACAACAAGATAAACACCAAATTCATAGTAGTTAATTCAATGGTAGTAATGTATAAAAGAAAGATTGCATATAAAGATCTAATACAAGAAACAACTAGTTCGTAGAAAGAAAGGCATAAAGCAATTTCAATTTCATGGTTTAAGGAAAGACAGAGTTTACGCACCTACGCCATTGCGATCGATTTTAAGCCATATCACTCAGTCTCCAACCATTGGTTACGATAGTCGCGTGAACCCCAAACAAGTAGTCTGCATCTCCCAACATGGCTCAGACCAGGAGTTGGTGACTTCAAAGACCGATGGTACGTTTTGGTTTGACCGCCCTTAACTTTTTACCACGCATCCCCGACACTAGTCAGCATTGTGCGCCGTGATTATCGGTGATTGGGCATGCGTAATACGTGACCAAGCCGTGTCAGGCGATATAGGTTCTCAACCACACAAACTGATTTCTTATAAGTAAGGAAGACATTAATTTCTTGAAAAAAGTTGTTATTTAAAATACAGTGAATGACAAGTTGAAGTGTTTTTTCTTCGATATTTCCCAAATAAATACATGGCGTAATTATATTTCGTATTTGTATGTTATTTGACTTAGAAAGTTGCACATTAGATTTTACCTTTATTGAATTTAATAGTTTCTCATATAAAGAATATCAGCAAGTCAGTAAAAAAAATAAAAGCATAACTTGAAATAAATACGAACCTCTTTTAATATCTCCACGTGTCCATGCCTTGGACTCTTCCTCAATTCGAGCAGCCTCACGTTCTGCCGCTTCTTTAGCTTCTATAATATATCCATGAAAGAAGTAGGAGGAAAGAAAAACAGTGCAAAAATAATAAAAGACTACTTATCAATCGGAAAATGTTTTAACTAATTTATTCTGGTTAGTGTTGTTCTAGTAAGGTTTTTTCTACGGGACACGGTTTCTGACCCCATGCCCAACCCTCCTTTATCCAGTCTTGGAACCGGCAGTAACCCTAGAAGGGCTACAGGCGTAAGTAGTCAGTAAAATTAACAATTATTATCATCAATGGATAATGTTTATTTTGTTAACTGAATATTATATATCAGTTTAGTCTATCACTTCGACTTATGCTCTATAAGACGTAATACGGGTAAGTAATAATTACCCTATCATCTAAAAACTTGATAAGATTAAAGTGAAACTGTTAATGTTGATCAGGTATGATGTAGTGTCTATGTCGTTAACAGGAATATATCAATTACAGTGAATATAATATGGACTAGATATTGAGATAGAACCGTTCTAAAATATTTTTAAAAATTGAATAGATAGAACCTATTGGTCAATTCTATTATAGACAAATGAAGTACCAAGATTTATTAAAAGTTGAGAGTGATAAATTTTGTGCCTTTACGATACTGAACGTTGTGAATAAACAACAATATACTACTTATAAACAAGGTTAACAAAGGGAAACGGGAAAGAAGAAGGCCAAAGAACGCATTGCGTCGAGAATTGGAAGCAGACATCAAAAGGATTGTCTATGACAGAGTTCGACGGAGAATGTTGGTGGGCAGCCAATGTTCCTCCACGAGAGGTAACAGGCGTAAGTACACAGAATTTATGGGTGATTAAGTTAGAATAAAATCAAAATATTAAACAGTTAAAGAACACTAACTTTAGTGCTAAAGAAATAAGAGATAAGTGAACAATACAAAATAGGTGAAGTGAATAGAACGAAAGATAACAGTCAGTGTTATCATTGAATCATTATCAGGAAAATTATTTTTCAGAATAATAATTAAGATATACATCTGTGAATTTGTAAGGGCATCTACCTCTTAATATTCAGTATTTTTGTAATATTTAGAGTTTCGTTTTCATTCATTGAGTATGTGGATGCTATGGAAGAGGATAATTTTCACTAATGATTTCATAACTTTCACTTTATTTGCTTTTTTGGATCCGTAAGTTAAGATACAGTACAGAGTAGTGTGTTTACTGAAGACATATGTAAATAGATTTCAATGAATCAAATGAAGTCTCAAATGAGAATTGCACTGTAGCATTGAGACACTAAAAGAACGGAGTATTTGAAAATGGCTGGCATAACAATTTTACTGAATAATGAAAACGAACGGTTATTCTCATATACGAATGATCAATGAATTAAATTTGATCCTGACATGAAAGATTGAACGTGAAACTGTTGGGGACGTTAGATCCCCAGAACTCACTTGGAAAAGGATCTAATTTTGTAATTTTATTTAGAAAATTTGAATTTCTTTGTTTATGCGCCAAAAGCGCTCTTTTCACCTTCATGTCGCTATTGGTCCGTTGTGTTTTTTAGTATGCCATTTTGTAAGGCTTCCCAAGTACGTTTTTGTTCTGTACATATACGTTTTGATTTGTTTGTTGTGATCGCTCGTTTCTGGCAGTGCGCGGAATATACTTCCACGTTCGAACTTCGACTTCTCTCTCTAGTAAGCGGGTATGCGACGCAACAGAATAGCTAGTTATTGGTTTTTGGTCACAAGTCTTTGTTCCGTTCGCAGACTAAGTGAACTCATAACCGCTTCAAACCTAGCAGAAACAATTTTAGAAGCCTGATACGATTCACTATGAATTTCGAGAGAAGACACCTACACAATTCTGTAATGATGTAGCGATTTTGCGTAAGAACTTTATACAAGCATATACAGATATGTTTTAAGGCTGAACACTCATTCATTTAACGAATAAGCGTGACTCTTTAAACTTATTAATTATTTTATACTAATTTACATGACTAATTATAGGTTTTTATTTATGTACAATTTTAATGTGTAACTGTTTATATGTCATCGACGATTTGAACAAAACAAACTCACTCAATTCACCACTTATGGTAACATTAAACAACACACACTGTACAATGTAACCCGCACATTAATAAATGGAAACTCATATTTCCTTTGCCCCCAAGTTTGGTCCGTTGATTAGGGCTTTATGTTTTGACTTAACTCTGATAGGAATAATCATGGTAGAAGCGTTTGGGTCTACTAGTGATACAAATTCACACGGGATCTCAGTTATATCTAGTTAAAGTCTAAGAACATAGAATACAACATTTGGTATTTTTAAACAAAATCTAAGAAAAATGAAATACCTTGTTCACGTTTCTGACGTTCAGCTTCTGCAGCTAGTTCACGTTGTTTCTGTTCTTCACGTTCAAGTGCTTCTTGTGCAGCTCGACGACGTGCCTCAGCTTCTAATTCAGCCTCGTGTTTAGCTCTTCTTTCAGCCAATCTTTCCGATCGTTTTTGGTCACACAGAGCCTCCCATTCTGCCAATTTAGCTCTATACCGATTATCACGAGCTTCTTTTAATTGACCAACAAGACGCTACAATTGTACATAGTAAACAAATATGTCTGAACTATCACCGAAGCATCAGAGTGATAAAACTAATGATCGAAAAATCTTAAATGAGTTCATATCACATTGTGCTTTATGGAACTAGGACTACGGTGAAAAGTTCCAAATGTTTGATACCATTATTAAATTAGTGATGAAAAAGTGTGACAAGTTCTATGATTTATTTTCAAAGATTTTGAAATTATACAAAATGTTTGATTCGATAACGAGACTGTTTTATCTTCAGAAAGAATTTTTCGATCAGTCGTATACCTTATTTACACTCTGTAGTAGTATTTGGTAGATAAAGGATATTCGTTTGAGATACTTCATAAGGTTTAACGAAAACAGTAAATACAACGAAAGCACCCAACTATTATGTATTTCAGTCAGCTACAACGTAGGACCAGGCACATATGTGCATCGGTCTAGGTTGCCATACCTCATTAGCACAGCAACTATCACGTATTTACGACATTTTGGTAGTATTAGTGATGAGGAAAGTTCAGAACTCTTGAAACCAAGTATGCCACTTATGATTTATTTCATGAAACTTTTGTAAAATGTTGCTCTATCACACTGAAGTTTCCTACAGTCAGTCGGTTAGTATTAATGTAGAGCTAGGCACAAATCTGTGGTAGCCTAAATTATCCAATCGCATCAGGACAGTAAGACAAATAGCAAGGGAGTAGAAATGATATCAATGCGAATACTTATTGAGCATTTGATTAAAAAAAGTGTAAGGACTAAGAATATGGCTTGAAAAGACAATGGAAAGATATATATGAAGAGAAGCAGAAATTCAAGATAAAAAGTACGTACACTTGGGCCATCATAACTGATCCCGAGCCATGTCAACTAAAGCCTCAAACTATTAATCTCGATAATTGTACATACTTCAACCACGTAGTCTAAATATACTTGCATGGTTTAGTTTAATTACCAATGACTTTATCGGCTGATACGATGTTTTGCTTTGGAAACGCCTAGCTCTTTTAATCTAATAATACACCAGCAAACATCGGGGTTCGATGTCGGTGATCGTTTGACATGTTCCAACATGTTCCAACCGTCTTCTCAGTTCACGAAGGTCCACTGATTTGCCAAAGAATATACCAACACTTACTAATTTATGTCTAACTTCGGCATAGTTCACTCCGTCAGAGACCGATGATCAAACAATGGTAACCTACAAATATCCTGTTGTTGAATGCCATGTTTTACAACCATAAAGTACAACAGGACGAACAACTGTGCATTTTACTTATTCTTTCTTGCCTTCTTGTTTCCCAATTGTTGAAGACTATTGTAAGACATTTACCAAATACGAAGTTACACAGCTTTCAACCGAACTCCTTAGGTGAGCGGTACTAACCAGCTGACTGAACCGAGCAAAATATGTGAATCGGGTCACAATTGATTGATCACTGGGTGGTGATCAATGTCATACTTGTCTAGTCCTTATTAGTGCAGATCGAATGCTATCGATCATGTTGCAATGTGGCCACCTAGACTGTTCACGGCTCGGATAGCTCAGTGGTAACGTCTCTGACTGTGAAGCTGGGTGACACGAGATCGAATCCGCCAGGGAGCACCAGTTCCCTCAAGATTACAGGTACACCTTGCTGACGAGTGCCAAATAGCACGAAACCCGGGTCCAGGGTTTCCTGTTGACTACCTCCAGCCACCATCTAAATGTGAATCGGGTTTTAAACTTTGGATATACTGTTCTAAGCTAGACATTAAAAACAAGATAATTTGAATTAACCTTCACAACTAAACGTAAGCTAACAAGACAGTTTAAAAATGTGTTTTGAAATATATAAGCTTTTCATTAGACCATAAGTTGCTTCAATTGTGAAAATCTGTTACAAAGAACTTCAACAGGTAACAACAATTTATAAGACAGTCAACCAAATAGTGAATTTTTATTCGGAATATTTTAAATGGTACTAAAAAATATTTAACAGGAGCAATTTATTTATCGTAAACTTTGAAGAATTCACTCGTTAAAAGATTTCGGGGACATGTACTACAACCAAACATTATCACTCAAGATAAAACTGTCAGTAGATTAGATATTTCACTTTTCCTAGCATTATGAAGTGATTTATGAGTTAGCATTTACAATAGTAGAGTGATTACTTAGTATTTTAGGACTTTATACTTTCAGCCATTAAGTCATAGATTTAAACGTTGTTCTATCTACTCCAGTTTCGGCGATCGGGCAAGTATTACTAGCACTAAGACTTGAAGTGTGGCCCAAAGTCAAGGAAACACATCTGTACCTGCAAAATAGGTTACAACAACAGCTATGAACAAGTCGGCTACGAAGTTTGAAAACAGAAAAAAACATGCAACAAAATAAATACCTGGACATCTGATTTCATTCGAATTAATCGATTGCGTTCTTTCAATTGTCGTGCATGCTCGGCTTTCGAATGCTCCTCAATTTCTCTCACACTCTGCTCAAATAATTCACGAGATTCAATAGCTTCCGGCTCAATCTTTGCCTGTAACAATGGGATTTCTTCAATACGACAGGCACGTGTATAATAGTCCAATTTTTTCGCCATTGTTTTAGCCTTTTCCGCTAGTTCTTTTCGCTTTTTCTTCACTTCTTGTTTCTGAACGATTAGAAACAAACAGAATGATTAAAACTACAGTAGGAAAATAACAATTACTTGACCACAGACAAACGCTAAACAATAAAATTACTACTATTTATTAAAGGTATATTCATTGTTGAACTTAGTCATGTTGTTATAATTCTCTCTTATTACAACCCAGCTATTCCTATTGCTTTGTATTCTCAGACACCAATTCACTTGACGAGTCCTCAAATCAGAACACAGGTGAACAGGAAAGGGATTATATTCCAAATAACAAAGTTAGATGGAAGTAAGAAGCGCAATAGAAGGAACGCTAGAATATTTGTAGTTTTTTACATGAGAAGATTCTAGAGTGTACTCTGAGTATCGACTAGCGCTGATTAAATAAGAACTAGCCAATCAGCGTGCATTAACACAATTGTACATTGAACATGCTTTAATCCAATCTGTGTCCCACTAACACATGTAGATGGGTGCAGACAACACAGTTGAGGTCCGTGTGGTTATCGTAATCAAAGATTAAAGGTTTTCGCTGACATGGGTCTAAATGGTTTATGATGGTGCAGGTGCATCCGATTTTTGTCTCCCTCTCAAATCCTGAGATTATAAATCCCTCGTGTTTTTTTCTTTCCGAGTCGAATCTTCGATGTCTGAATTTTTCGCTACCGTTAATATTGTTACTATGTTTACTACTCTGAGATTTAGTAATGGGATATGGCAACTTAAGCCGAGTGCATATGTGCCAGGTTCTACGCTGATTATGACCGATTAACATATGTATTGGAAAATAAGACTATGGAAAAAATGTAAAACATTTGTTGCTAAGGTGATCATGGGATAACTCAAATTTTGTTATTAATCTTAAAGTCTTACGGATAACGGTAACCGTGAATGCTTTCTTAACTCAATTTATTAAATGACTTTCGCCCATTTCTGATTAGTTGTCACAACTTTTCTGCATGCCTCAAAGTCACGCTTTCGTTACTATATATGCTAAGACGTGCTCAAACATCTAGTTTTTCTTACACTCCATCTTAGTGGCAGCGGATAACTATTAAAATGTTGCATGTAAGATGTATAATTTATTAAAGTTCATATTTGTCTCATTCATATTAGAAAACCCACAATTGTTCACCAACAACATTTGCCGTCAACCCAATACATAATTGTTTATAATCAGGAAATAATACTTGTAATAAAAAACTAAACACAAAAACATTCCATTTCGTGATACCAAAAGAGTGCTGAACGTAACTGAAATCAACAATTGGAGGCGAAGAGAGACTAAGCTTTTTTTAATTCGAATTTTGATAAACTTTCGTTGATTAGAAATTTAGGATCTGAAGAAAGACAAATATATATAGGCACCTACACCATTGTGAATGATTTTGAGCCACATCACCGAAGATCTCTAACCATAGATTCTGATTATCACGTGGACTCTAACCAGGTAGTCTGAACCTACTCACAGGGCTCAGTTGAATAGTCAGTGTTTCCATGGACTAATGATATGTTTTAATTTGGACACGTCTAGCTCTCTCTCGACCTATAAATATACCAACAAACATCGAGCATCTACATAGTTAGTAGATAAGCATACATATTACATTATTTCAGTTGATCAAAACTCATTTTTTTGGTTGATCGATTAGTCTCACTTATAATCCAACACTGACTGAGTATAAAAACATTGTAACCCCTTGAAAATAATTGATTTAATAACAACTCGAATCCCGAGAGTAAACAAGGATGTATTGATTTTCCAGGAAATAATTTTACTAGTCTAGTGGTCAATACTTTAAGAGCATTTTCCAGAAATTTTGCAAAACAACAAACACATGTAATACATAAAAGGTTAATTTATAAATGAATAATACTGAGAATAACATACTTGCTTGTTAATAAGTTTATCTGCATCAAAGTTTTCAAGCTGTTCTTCTGTTAACTCTTTTAAATCAAGTTTTGTATCAATTTTTAAATCTAAGAACATTTTCAAACTAGTACGTGCCATTCGTAATTTTAGACGAGCTTTCTCATCTTCAGTTTTCATTCGTTCACGTTGTATAGCTTCATTGGCCAAATTGGTTTCTTCCGCTTTCAATAGACGCTCTTGTTCTGCTTGACGTCTTGCTTCAACAATGCTGTAATACTAGAGTGGCAAACAAAAATAAAGAACGATCAAGTATTTTTACTATTTTAGTGAAGATAAATTACAAACGACCATCTTTTTTATTTAGTAAAAACAAATTACCTGATCTCGTTTACCCTGATACGTCTCAATCTCTTCCTTTCGGGCTTCGATTAAACAACGTCGATTAAGCAATTCACTGCGTAAGACTTTTTCATTTTTCCGGTAATCTTGAACAAGTGCACGTCGACAATTAGCTAAAGACTGACCAACTTCCAAAATATCAGTTATCTGTTGCATCACTTGAGCAAACATTGTTAGTTGACGAGACAATTTGTCTGGGTCATTTACATGGGTTGACTAAAAGAATTAAAAATAAAGTTACATTATCAAATACACCTTTACATAAGAAAACGCTCAAAATTTAAATTGACGTATACTGGATACTTTCAACTCTTGAAAGTGCAAAAGTAGTTTGTAGCATTCACTAAACAATAAGCGATGTCGAGAACATAAGTCTAAAATGGCTAGTGAAACAAAAAAAGACTTTAATGTTGGGTACCCAGTAGGAAACCTTGGATCTAGGTCTCGTGCTAATTGGTACTCACCAGCAAAGTGTATCTAGAACCTTAAGGGAACTGGCGATTCCTCGTGAATTCAAATCCTCGTCACCTAGCTTCATAGTTTGAGATACTACCAAAAAGATATTCGAATCACAAATGACCTATAGGACTGAGATATCTGTAAGTGATTGGTCAATGGCTAATCAGTTATAATATTAGGGACACCTAACATCATGAATAAACCATATTATCTGGAGTTTTAAAGATGGGAGGAAAATCAGCAACTGAGAACCATAGATGCAACTCGTTTGATATTTACATAAGGGCTAGGTGAAACTACTAACCTATCCAAAATAACGTAGGTAGCGAAGGTTTATGAACATGAAGTTTACTAGTCAGTCTGCCATACCTAACCGAGGATCTGGCACATAGGTGGGTCGGTTCAAGTGGTCACATATTAACACAATAAGGTGAGAAAAAAACAAGACTCCCAAAAGAGTAAATAAGATTATACATAGGTAAAATGATTCAGAAAGAAATAATAAATTCGCGGAATGAAAGAAGTGTAGGTATTTGAAAACAAGCAATTCATCCGAGCTTTTACGGCCGATCATGTGCTATGTAACACAACGTATCCAATCATTAGTTACGACAATAGCGCGAACTCCAACCACGCAGTCTGAATCTACTAACACGTTTCAGTCAGATTATCAATGACTTCATCGACTGATGCTACATACTGGTTTACCCGCCCGTAATCTGCTTGAAAAAGAAGTATCCCAATCAGTAAGTTACTACGTAGGTAATATGATTTTAGATAAATATTCGTAGTGCAAACATTTATCAACACTTAAACAGTGAATCTTGTACTAGTTGGGTTTTTCGTTCTTCATTATTTTTTATTCTTGCATCTCGTTACTTTTAAACAGTAACAAATTCAGATACTGCATGGTTTGGTCCGAATTCGAAAGTTGTTGGGATTACCATTCTTTGAAAAAGCTACGTAGATGGATTAGGGGCCTTATCAATTTTGATTACTTAAAAATTAAGAAACTTTTGCAGGAATACATAAAGACTTATTGGTTTTTATCAACTTTAACAACCTAAGATAGAGAGAAACATATTTATCCGTTAAAAAGGAAGTATTCCCGTAAAACAGTTTGCTTTTGTATTAATTTATAAATGTCGAAGGTCTTCGAAGGGTAGGTAACTTGGTCAGGTTTCTAGTGTTTGATCATGGATATTTTTAAGCATAATACTTGCGATCAGTGAACTCACTCAGTAAGTCGTGCTAATTTTAGACGCGGGGTACTGAGCAGGAATAAAACGATGATCACTGGTTCTATAGACTACTATCGACTAAAATTGTTTACATATAAATTCTACAAAAGCCAAGAGTAAAGTGGTCTTAGTTCATAGAGTTATTGCTTCCTGAACGTTATCAAGAAATATAGGCTTTCTTGTTGGGGATTGAGGAGAGATTGCAACCTATCGCTGAAGAATTCAAATGATATGGCTTGAAATTAAACACAATGCACCGATAGGTTTTTCGATTTTTCTTTAGACTCATTTTTCTTCAATGCATAGGACGTGTAATCTCGTATATTTGGTGTAAATTATATTTTGTAAGTAGACGACTTTTGTTAGTATCAAGGACCAATGGATAGTGGTTTTGTTTATGCTTTTATTTGTTAGATAACATTTAAAATTCTATACAAGAGTTTACAGAAATAACATGACATCATACTCCTAGCTAACGTGAGTGGTCAAAGAATATTCGCGTAAAACAATGAGAATCGATAGAATGGAACGAGACGTTAGAAATTAATTAGTTTTTAAACTTGTTGAAGTTCACGTATACGTTAAGTAAATAGACGGAACAAGACTAAAACTTGCGTTGTACAAATCAATCTGTACATACACATAAACTCATACCAGTCATTCAGAAGGATTTTAACTAAATATTAAGGAACTGGTAGCATAATATACCTGTGATACTAACTGTCCACCATATTCACATTGACTTATTCCCAGATCTGTAAATTTATCAAAGAAAATGGCTTGTTGTAAATGATTGACTCGAATAGGCAGTTCCAAATTATGAATCAACTCAATTACAATCCTTTCAAGTCGAATAGGCTCCATGAATGGACATAGTTTGAAAAATTCGTTGAAATCCAAGCTTTGATAGACTTGAGATAATTGTAGAAGTGTTTTTGCTACGATAACATCGTGCAGTTGCGTAATGTACACTTGGAGATCTGAACAGGTGGTTATATGGGCGAGTGCTGGTTGAACAAGTTCCCAAAGTTTCAAAGGTTGAAAATCCGCTTCTAGAACTTGGTACAACTTAGCTAAATTTGACGGGACAACAGTGTGCACTTTATGACGAACCAGATCACGTATTAAACTTTGACGAGTTGGTACTTGAATGAGACCTAGAATTCAGTGGAATGTTACGAATAATTATTGGAAATAAATTACCCAAAAGTCCAGCAAGTGTTTTCTGTTTCATAATAGTGTACTCGCCAGATAAGAATTTGTCAGCATTCAGTTTCGCATTTGGCAAAGGAATGGCAACAGTTGCACAAAGTACACGAGATCCAAGATCAGATAGTTCTTCACGAGTTAAATTCTTTTTCTGATCACGATATAACGTGTAAAGTTTGTGTAAAGCAGCAGCGTGATATAAATGGCAACCGCATCGTCGAAAAAGTTCCGCTGTTTTTGAGTAGTAATTGGTCATTAATGAAGGCATAGCATGTATTCGTGAAATCATCATAAAACTCCAAATATCTTCAACAGTTTTAAAAGCTTCGTTATACATATCTAGTTCCATAGCACAATCCAACTGTCGTAATCTAGTCTCTAAGTGTAATGTCTGTGTTTCGGTATTATTCAAATTTATAGCATTAGGTGCATTAGGTTGTAACTGATTCTGGACTTTCTGAGTATGTTGTCGAATCTTTTATAAGTATGAAGAAAATAATAATAATAATAATAATAATAATAATAATAATAATAAATAATAAATAAATAATGAATGAATAATTAACATACCAGTTCACACAGCTTTTTGAATTCCGTCTTCCGACCATACTTCAAGCAGAAGTTATAAGCTGTAAAGTGTACGAAAAAGTGGTTAGTAATGTCCAAGACTTACCATCATGAGCTACTTCATGATACAGCTTTTCTAACTTCGAATTGCTACGTAACAAATCTAGCACCAAACGATAGGAATCCCAGAGAAATTTTAGCCATGGCATCAGAATCGTTCTAGCAGATCGGTCTTGAGTACCCTCCATACTAACTGCATTTAACATGAGACTATACAATGGAAAGAATAGGAAACAAGCACTCAAATCAACATGTAGAAAATGCAAGCAAAACTTAATTCTTCAATAAATTTAGTCTTTGACTAGTAATGAAAACTAAAAACGATACATTATTCTGTTTCCGATCACTGATTTATATGGCAATACGCAAGTACACATTGTTTCCTGATCATTTTTGTCAGCTGTTTCAGTAGTAATAATAATTATTACCAACTTATAACTAGGTATAGGTTCGTACACAGCTCCAAGCGATACTAAATGTGAGGGATGGTGATGCTACCTTGTTATTCAAATCTAAGGTGGAGCAGGGTTTGGGCCTGTGACCCCTGAACTACCTATCAAGTATCTAATTTAAGTTGTTCGCTTTTTAGCCACAGTACTTGTGAGGATTAGTGATAATAGATAGTCTCGCGGGCCAAAGCAAAAGTAACTGGCTTCAAAAATGTAACCAGTTGATTATAAGCTGAGTGCTTCTAGTTACTAAACCACCGCTGATCCATTTTCTGTCAGTGACTTTAAGGTCACAGCCTGTTTGGATTTTACCCATACCTCAGGTAGGTTGGTCATATGAGTGTTGGTAGCAACCAACTAATTCTCAGTGTATGTTCGGAATATGACCTGCCCCACTACTACAAGAGCTCGAGGTTCAAAACAACTATATGAAAATCATTAAGTGATTTCTTCAAAGATTGAATGCAATGAAAATGCCCGAAGATATTTATGTTGTCCATTACTAACAACCATGTCTTACAGTCCTTAGGTAAAAAGGTGTACCAACACATACTACAAATATATTGCATGATAATGAAACTCGAAAACACGTAAGGAAGAACTAAATGCACACAACCTACAAACCTTTCTGGAGTTTCCAGGACATCCAAATCCTCAATTTCCATGATAGCACTCTTTGACACTTCTTGAGCTTCTTCAGTTTTACCCTTTATCTGGTTCAGGTAGTAACGAATAACTTGCTCGAGTGAAATAGTGTTTTCCTAATAGATATTAGCGGAATAGAAATATTAAGGATGGAAAAGAGATTACCATAACACTCATATTTTTGTACGTATAAATTGCTTTTCTGAAGTGGATGTTCTTACGGAGTTCTACACAAAGTTCAACAAACAGCATCATTAATTCTTCTAAGACCTTTTGCCATTGTTTAGTTCGTCTAACTCGCATCACTTCGTACAAAATTTCCAAAGCGTTAGACTTTTTGTCACATTTTATAAGTTCTATTTAATAAAAAAGGGGGGAAATGTTAATTATATATATTATGCATGTTAATTGAGAGGATGTTTGACAAATTAGCTCACGAAGCAAATGGAAACGGAAAACAGAATAATGTAAGTGCAATAACGCTTTTACGATCAATCTGTTAAAGATAGAAATCACGTATGTACAACATGCAAAAGTATAATACTAATCTTAACGTTTTTTGTATTGCTAAAATTCGGAAATTTTTAAAATTAATGACTGCTTCACTCGTAAAATGTATGAAAATGGGCATTTGTATGGCAGTCACGATGAAAAAACCCCAGAGTAACCAGGCATTTATTTGTACCTTGAGCTTACGGGAAAAATATCAAAAGATAGCACTAATTAAACAAGATTTTATATTTTTGAGCGAAGATAGGTGCTATTACAGATCGACGTTCACAGATGACCTGACAGGTCGAGTTCCCTTAACAAACCACCGTAGATGTGAGTTTAACGGAACATGTAGTGTGATAGCACGAATAATAGTGAAATTTATGTTGATACGGTAAGACTAAATATATAGACAGTGTAACATCTCAAAATTGAAACCAAATTATATAAATGTAATTACGTCACTGTGTCCGAATTTGAACCACCTTACACACGGTCTCTAATCATTGATTATGACCATTGCCTCAAGCAAGTAGTCAACTTACACAGCTTAATCCGATAATCGATAACTTTATGGAAAAACTATCTTGTTTTGACTGCAATTAGCTTTGCTTTAACATACTTGTACCCCATCCATCATGTCTCAAGGTAGGTGGTTGAAATATTTTCAACATATAATCTACGTCACAGTCGAGTTTATAAACATGTACTTGACATACAAGTTACTCAACTTCGGCTATGGTACAAACAATAAAAGATGCTGATCTTCTTTAATAACTTACATAGACAAATGCAATAATTAATGCAGATGATTTTAACAATTAAATAGTCTTAGTCAAGCAGGAAATATCAACAGAAACTAGACACTTTTAGCACAGCAAAAGCTGCTACAATAGCCTGTTGTAATTAGAATCACTATACATTCGTACGGAGTCAACGTTATCCAAGACTGATTTACTTATGATTTACGGATTTAGGACCAATAGAACTGGTTACAAAATATGAATAGCCACCTCATAGTGTTGAACTAAGGATAGCAGATAAGTAGTGACAACTTCAAGGGTGCGTCAGTTCGTGACGCTCTTATATGTACGTTAAGCATATGCAGTAGTTATGAACAATCTCCAGATAACCATCATCATCTGTTACAGACTAAGCAATGTCTCGAGAGCACCCACAGAAACTGTGTTTCCTCTCTAATCTTGCACACCACATTCTTTTGGTACTTTACTATTTAGTTCTTTACAGCTATATTATGATTACAAAAAGAATAAGTTTGAGGTCACCACAACTTTCAGCAGATAGTTAGAACTTGAGCACCAAGTTATACGTCTCTTAACCAACAAGATAAAAAACTTTTGCAACAGTGTCTGAGGACATAATGCTAAACAAATATAACGTGAAGCGTAAAAATGTGTCAACCACTGGGTTCGAATTTTTTCCTAGGGATACTAGTTATTTATTCGGGTTAGTGGTGCGCAAAGCTAAAAAAAAAGCCAATGAAACCCTAATAACTATGTCAAGAGCTTCACAAATTCCGAACACTCGTCAACAATTTGCCTCGAGTTTCGCAACATGTTTGCACGTCGGTGACAGCGCTACGAGCAGAATGACATTTAGTTAGTCTCGAAAAAAGCACGTCATTTAATAAAGAATAAATAACGCCAACAATCTAAACGTTTTTCATGGTGCTAGTTTTTTAATATTCTCAGCAAGCAAAATCTGTGATTAGTCACTGATCTCGTAAGCCTCGATGTCCCATATGAGAGAATACAGTTAACGTAATTGTTTAAACACCAAAAATGTAAATGCTCGACTTCAACTGGAAATCTATACAGTCACTCATAGCTTTGTATGGCTAATGGTTGATTCCCAGAACTGGAACCCACTGAGACATGACGCGTCGAACAATGTAATTTTAGCTAGGACGTTTACAACATACCTCTTGCTTTAGTCAATGCAGTTTCCGGCTTATGATACTGGCTTGGAGGCATTATCACATGAAGACACGCGAACACACAACGTTCAACTAGAGCGGTACACACGAATGACTAAAAGTAGCTTCAATCTTGAATCCTCGTCATATTATCTTAGCAGACTTATTGTTCGTTGCGATTCATGCTCAGCCTTCATTCAACTGATTTTTATTCATATAGTTGACACACAGGTTAAGATAAGGTTCTTCTGCTATGACAAATGTGATTCTACAATAATGTTTGGAATCCAAAGGTTTTTGAGATGAAACATTTAACTATGAGTATATGTGGTATTTGTGTTTAGGTCACAGAATGTATTTATTTGGTGCCAAAACATAAACTCTCGGACAGGGTAACTTTGTGGAAATATATCCCCGCTACTTCACATATTCCAAAATATACAGTTTCAGTTTGCGAAAGGTCAATGGTAAGATTGCCTGTTAATCCTAATGATAGAGATATTCCAGCAGGCTCAACTTTTTCCGAAATCCGTAGACAATTTATGCTTCAGCCGCATGTCAAGGTTAGGAATTCCATTGGTTGACAGTTCGATGGACAAGATGGTACTCGGTTTGCAGGTAACTTATTCCAGACATGCGAACGGTTGGGAGTATCCTTGTGAATTCGCTGTTCCAGAGGACGGCAAAAATTTACGACTGGGCAATTCTAAAACAGCGAAAATGTCTTTTTTATTCCTTCTACATGACGTGGAGAATAGATTTATTTACTAAACCTTTTTCAACATATCTGTCTTTATTAAGCAGTGGATAGGTGAAGAAGTTTGAGTTTCGTTCAAACACCCACTGTTACCAGGGTGAAAAATGTCATAACATCTACGCAGACGAAAGATCTACTCAGTGATTAAAGTCTACTTAAATATTCAGCAGCTGAAACATAGCAACAAATATTGGTTTACAAGTCTCAGTTGTCAGTGGACCTTAGATAAGTATATGTCCTAACCACATGCATATTACGGGCATCAGTCGAACATGTATTTGTTCTTGAGCCACAAGCATGCATTATAATGCATTCGGGAGCAATAATCAGTAACCGCCTAATTTCGAACATGTTATTTTGAGGCTGTGAAATATTCGTTCCCTACTGTGATGTATGGTGCATTTGTCGACAGACATATGTAAAACGTAACACAAGTCAGAAGTGAAATGCCAGGCAACGGAAAGTTAAGAGGATCGGTTTGAAGAGAATAGTAATGCAAATAGAGGCTAATTGTAAAAGCAATGAAGGAACGATGGAGTTTGAGACAATCGATGGAAGATTTGCAAACACGTACTTATTGTGTAGTTTTTCACATTTTACGAAAGAACTGTGCAATTTCGGACTGAATAATTGAAGTGCTTTTCTCAATCTCAGATGTCGTTTAGCACACTTTTATCTGTATCTTGAGTATATGATAAGGCTGATCATGAAGAGACTAGAAAATTCATAAGGATATAAGAAGAATAAAATTGGCCATAAAACTGTACTCTATATCAATCAACCAGATAAAGGTTTTTGAACTAGATGACTTAGAGTTAATCCGTACTTTCCGTTGGCATGTAACTAAACAAAAATCGTAACTTACTCCAACCGTGCCTAATGTAGACGGTGATTCGGTAGGAATTTATCAAAAGCCTTGCCGGAGTTAATAAATTTTATATGTATGGTTAACTTCTAATCCCTCAGAACACAATGATAGCTTATGGAGACATCAATAACCTATTTTGTAGCCATTCTGCTCTTCATAGATAATCTATCCTTTCCCAAACACTAAAATAACGTTTTGGAGAATGATCTTGCGTAGTATCTTTACAACATGTGCGATTTCAGCTCTCATGTACACGCGGCTACCTATTCTAAAGATAAAACTCGCTTTAATTATTGGTTAGTAATGAATGATATAGCTTAAGAGCCACTACCGTCCCATAAGTTATACTAAACCAAGGATATTTGTCCGATAAGAAATAGTGAATTTTTGATCATCGTAATATCTAGAGTATAAGTATCATGTATTATCTGTTCCTGAAAGTAAAATGCCTATACCATACTTATGATGCTAAAGTAGCCTAAGAATAGTTGAGCTTGTCATAATCGCCTTACATTAATGGTGTGCCAGCACCATCTCCATGTAGTCCGGATAAATTCCCTTTCTTCTTCATCCTGCGTTTCGTGCGAGAAGATTAAGTATAGTTTTAAACAAACATTGTTTCAGACCCTTTCTAGACTTGAGTAGATCTTTAGTACAAGCATTTTTAACCAACCGATATTAGGCCAGTCTCACCAGCGCCTAGTAACCGTACTCTTTTCAACATTACTTCCTTTGTACGGCAATTGGTGTAGACGTTTCCACTGAAACATTGCGGAAATTCGTGGGTTTTAAGGGATCGTTCATGGTATTTGTGGACAGGTAATGGTGGGTTAGTGCATTTATTATCAATGTTAGTTGTGAACTTGAGTCAGGCCTCGTCGTCTTTTAACTTCCCGTAATGTTGAACATATTGTGACTGCATTGACAAGATTTCATCAAAATTATCTATCTAGTAACTCTATTCTTAAGATCATTCAGTCATACATTTACGTTATAGTTTCAAAGTCTTGGTCACTTTATGACATAGGGCGAAATGTTGAATTTGACTTGAGATTCGTCATCCAACTTACACGAAGTATTATATAATAAATAATATTCCTTACTCCTTAAATTTCAAGCGGTAATTACTTTTTATGGCAAAGCAAGGGTCACATTCCTACAATTGAAGAACATATGGAACTCAAAACAACTTTCAACCAATATCAAAGTCAGAATTTTCAATAAGAACGTCAAGGCAGTTCCACTGTATGGAGCTGAAACTTAGAGAACTACAACAACCACCATCAAGAAGGTACAAGTATTTATAAATAGCTATCTACGCAAGATACTCAACATCCATTGGCCGGACACCATCAGCAACAGCCTTTTGTGGGTGAGAACAAACCAGCTTCCAGCTGAAGAGGAAATTAGGAAAAGACGATGGAAATGGATAGGACATACATTACGTAAATCGTCAAACTGCATCACGAGGCAATCCCTAACTTAAAATCCTGAAGGGAAGTGAAAAAGAGGAAGGCCAAAGAACACATTACGTTGGGAAATAGAATCAGATGTGAAAAGGATGAACAACGATTAAAAAGAGCTAGAAAGGATTGCCCAGGACAGGATTGAATGGAGAATGCTGGTGAGCGGCCTATGCTACTTCACGAGGAGTAACAGGCAATGAAGAAGAAGTGAATTACTTTTTATACTCCACTCTCACGGGCAATAGTCCAGTGAGCAGTGTTTCTTTCTTACTAATCAATGTTCTGTCCATCCTTGAAAGTGTGACGTTTGTGAGGTAGAGCTTAACACTACATAAAGACAGAGCTTGTTGAGTGAACGTAGGTCATTTAAAGACCATTTAAGTAGCTTCGTGTCGCACACGATCCGTAATAAGTCATCTGCTCGCAAAACTCCAACACCTTAAAACTTATTATCGTGAGATCGTTCTCTCTGACTTTTTGACTCTAGTACCAGTTTATTTTGGAAAAGTCTTTTCGAATAAAACCCCTTACCCACTCAGACTGCCTCTACCTCTCATTATCAAGTTTCTGTATTTTTTAGATCCGAATATCACTTTAAGTAGCCCAGCTCTAGAATCATTTACTTAATCACCTAGTCCATAAATTTTAAGTGAAGCAACCACTGGGAGTTCGTTGGACACTCATCTAACCATTACAAGAAGCAAATAAATGCTCACTCACACTAAAATGGGTAAGGATAATGCAACGCACTACATTTTAAACAAGATTGAACTTATAAAAATCTATTCAGCTAATGTGTATCCGATACTGAACTGCATATCATACCTTACTTATTCAGAAACTATTTGTACACGTCTTTTCTTCGGCGGTTGACTTCAACTTGATTTCTGATGACCTCAGTTTTCGAGAATATAGGTAGTAGTTCTCAGTGTTGTAGAGATATGGGCGTTTTTGAATGGTAGCGGAATGTCACGCACTTCATGTGCGGTAATACTTTGTTGTATTTAGTGTTCTACCACAATGTCGTGCCTGTCACAGAGAATCTCGGCAAATACGTCCTGTCTCGCGACCATGAATCCCCGTTTCCCATTCATTTTTCAACGAATACAGTATGTAAATAATACCTACATGTTACAGTGTTTGGTTGATCTATATTAATGAGCCTCACATTAGAAGTGATCTCATATGGTTACACATTTAGTAGATCTTGCCAAGTGAGTTGAACACACTTTCTTCACAAGGTAAGTTGGTGAATACCAAAATGAGAGGCCATATTGCCTGTGACTTTCATCATTATGTGCTATAACTCTCTTTTCAACTCCCGACGCAGAGTTTAAGTGTTTTGAAATGTTAGTTCTGACTAGCGTTTTCTAAAGAATAAGACTGCTGACCCCGTGCCGAACACTTCTCCTTTACCCAGGATTGGAACCGGCGGTAATTCTAGGAGATCTACAAAGGAAGTTATCAGGAAAATCAGCATCTATCGAATTTGAATCAGATCTTGATTCATTCAGCTCATTTTTACAAGGATGTTTATCAAAAATATGTGAATCATTGGAAAAACTCATATTTGGTAAACCAACATGAGGAATTTATAAGGAATTGATTCATTAGAAGCTTTGTCTCACAGAGATTATGAGTTGCATTTGATACAGTTGTATTCGTTGTGCTGCTCCAATTATTTTCTCCAACTTTCCTGACAAACATCGCATGAAATATTAGTTTGTTCTGTCTGGAGTTCGATTTCAGGGCAATACAAGGCTAACAGGTCTTTGCGTAACTACATAGGCAAATTTATGGTGAGATCACATAAGTGCACAGCAAGACATCAACATCTGAAAGGAAGCACGGGATACAGTGGACATCTAGGATGCAGCTGGACGATCTAGACTTCACAGATGATCTGGCCCTTCTATCCCAAACGCAACAACAAATGCAGGAGAAAACGAACAGTGTAGAAGCAGCCTCAGCAGCAGCATGTCTCAATATACACAAAGAGAAAAGCGAAATTCTCCGATACAACACATCATGCATCAATTCAATCACAATTGACGGAGAAGATTTGGAAGATGTAAAAACCTTTACATATTTGGGTAGCATCATTGATGAACACAGTGGATCTGATGCGGATGTGAAAGCGTGGATCGGTAAAGCAAGAGCAGCATATTTACAATCAAAGAACATCTGGAACTCAAAGCAACTGTCAACCAACACCAAGATCAGGATTTTCAATGCAAATGTAAAAACAGTTCTACTGTATGGGGCAGAAACCTGGAGAACTACGAAAGCTATCATCCAGAATATACAGGTGTTTATTAACAATTGTCTACGCAAATTACTTCAGATCCGTTGGCCGGACACTATTAGCAACAACCAACTGTGGGAGAGAACAAACCAGATCGCAGTGGAGGAAGAAATCAGGAAGAAGCGCTGGAAGTGGATAGGACACACATTGAGGAAAGCACCCAACTGCATGTGTCACAAGACAAGCCCTCACATGGAATCCTCAAGGCCGAAGGAGGAGAGGAAGACTAAAGTACGCATTACTTCGGGAAATGGAGATAGACATGAGAAAAATTAATAAGAACTGGAGGGAATTAGAAGAGAAGGCCCAGGACAGAGTGGGTTGGAGAATTCTGGTTGGCGGCCTATGCTCCATGGGAGTAACAGGTGTAAGTAATTAAGGCAATGCAAAAGCTGACAATATGATTTGAGCACATACATACATGTGAGAGGAAATAAATCATCGACTGATATTTAAGCAATCAGCATTTTATCTCAAGTCTTTCATGTGACCGAGTGATCATAACGGTACAGAGAAATATGTAAATTGTTGTTGTTCAAATAAAAATTTCTATTAAGTAGGTAAATAGACGGCCATAGCCAAAATTAACTGTAGTCGAAATCGGTTGTAAAACAGTTGTAATATAATCCTCGAAAGCTTTGGAATTTGAATGTATATCTAACTGTTCAATCACAAGCGTCACAGAGATGCCAATATGGTAGTTAGGAGAACTTGAATTATTATGCGAACTAGGTATCCCCCAAGCAAGGCAGTTTGAGTCAGGTAGAAATCGGTCAGTACAAACGAACGTTTGTATTTCGAATTCAAAATTAACCAGGAAATCGACCATGAACGAAATATTAGTTCATGCAAACACCACAATTCTTCACACGTGTATGATAATCTGCATATATTTTTTATTTTCTGTGTTTCTTACGCAACTCACGAGAATCGAATGTAATTCTTTCTATTTTTTGTATCCTATTTTATAATCTCATGTATGAAATACATTTATGCGCAATTCGATTTATTTCCGGCTTTTATATCCACATTATTATCAGCCTGATTATTTGACAGCGAATATATTAAATTGGGTAAGAAATATGCTGTATGAACACCTTCATCTCTTATTAATGCTGGAGTCGAACCGATGCTTCAATCCTGTTTATATGGCTGAAGTTATTTCTAAGAGAAGGGTACCAAATTAATTAGCTAAGCACTGTAGAATCAGCTACTGAGCAGGTAAGTATTGTGTTTGTCCAAGAGGGTGTTATAGGACCTGTCTTACTCACTATATACGTCAACAATAAATTAGTGCTGATGCCTCGATGAACATAAGGCTGTCAAGTATTATTACACGAGTCAAACAGAAGATAATTTCTATGTTAATCATCTTGAATTGAACATGTGGCGAAATGCTTGACATGCTTATTTTGTAAATAGTTTTTGATGTTATTTGTATTTATTCTACTAGTTTTTCATAGCCTGTACATTTACTGTTAAATGATTGTACGTGTTGTTTAAGTGCATGACCTTGAACACACTTTCTTCCGTCGTGTTACACTCATAGCATGACACGCTCTGTTACCTGGTAACACATACACTGCTATACACGTACCTCTTGTTCTCCATTAACTCGTGATTGTGTTAACTGAACTCTAAATCAACTACTGTCAACATTTATAGACTGCAACCAAATTCTAAGTTTGGTTATATCACTGGAAGGACATTAATCTTACTGAAATCTTCAGTCATCCATAATTGTGGATTTTGGTACCAAACTCAACCGGAACACATACAAACCTGTTGAGTTAAGTGACGTCTCTATTTTTTGTTGTGTTTATAACGTTCAACTGATATACACTAACATTACAGTTTGTACTTATTAACTCTGTTATCATTTTTGAGTTCATATATTATTTGGTCCACCACAAACAGGGTAACTGAGTATTTTTGTCTCCTTATTCTTTCTTATCAAATTTAACTTCATAAACGTCCTATTATTATGAAAGCAAGTGTTTAAGTAAAAAGGTATGAGGACGAATGTTGGTTTGATAGATTTGTAGTTTCATCGACCACAAAATACTTGAAAATAGTATATACTATTTTGAACGATGGTCAATAGGTAAATAGAGGTCCTAATGTAGCTTAATTTCTGCTGAATGTCACATATTACCCCTATTCTGATTTTATTATGATTATGTGGTTGCATCTATTAGAGTATCAGTTCAATATACGTTAATATAGACTTCACAGTGAAATATAACAAACTGAATAGTAAAAATAGGCATCTGTTGTTCGAATTTTCGTAATGATTCACTTTATAAAAATGAATGTGAATATATCGCGTAGCATCCGTGTTTAGGAAATATCTGAAGTGGTAAAGAAGCCACTAAAATAATCAGTTTTATAAATACTTGACAACGATACCGACACAGATAGCTATAATGAAGACCACTAGCTGAAAGCTCTTTATCAAGAATCATCTACAGACTACAATACGACCTACACTTCTATTCTTCTAGATAACCAATCTAGATGTCTGACGTTGCTCTGGTTATCTCTATAATCATACATAAGTTCTGTCAAAACAATCATCACTTACGTTCTTGCTCTCATCCGAAAAAAATCGTTGGAAAGTACTTGAAAAGATGAGTTACTGAACTCTGTCTTATCGGTTGTATCTCCAAACTTTCGATTTGAAAACATAGAGGAGTTAAGGATGATTGACTAAACATTAACACATTAGACATCTACAATGATACTGTCGTATAAAAATTTGATTAGTGAGTTTTTCTTATATGATAGTTTTGATACTTGCTTACTTACGCCTGTTATTCCTCGTGAAGGAGCATAGGCCGCTCACCAGCATTCTCCACTCAAGCCTGTCCTGGGTAATCCTTTCTAGCTCTTTTTAATCGTTGTTCATCCTTTTCACATCTGATTCTATTTCCCAACGTAATGTGTTCTTTGGCCTTCCTCTTTTTCACTTCCCTTCAGGATTTTAAGTTAGGGATTGCCTCGTGATGCAGTTTGACGATTTACGTAATGTATGTCCTATCCATTTCCATCGTCTTTTCCTAATTTCCTCTTCAGCTGGAAGCTGGTTTGTTCTCACCCACAAAAGGCTGTTGCTGATGGTGTCCGGCCAATGGATGTTGAGTATCTTGCGTAGACAACTATTTATAAATACTTGTACCTTCTTGATGATGGTTGTTGTTCTCCAAGTTTCAGCTCCGTACAGTAGAACTGCCTTGACGTTCTTATTGAAGATTCTGACTTTGATATTGGTTGAAAGTTGTTTTGAGTTTCATACGTTTTTCAGTTGTAGGAATGCTGTCCTTGCTTTGCTAATCCTCGCCTTTACATCTGCATCTGAACCCACTTGTTCATCGATGATACTTCTCAGGTTTGTGAAGGATTCTACATCTTCCAGAGTTTCGCCATCAAGTGTGATTGGATTGGTGTTATCCGTGTTGTATTTGAGGACCTTGGTTTTCCCCTTGTGTTTGTTGAGGTCTATTGATGCAGAGACTGCTGCTACACTGGCTGTTTTTATCTGCATTTATTCGTGTGTATGCGATAGGAGGGCTAGGTCATCTGAGAAGTCCGAATCGTCTAATTGTTTCTGAGCTGTCCATTGTATGCCGTGTTTTCCCTCAAATGTCGAGGTCTTCATAATCCAGTCGATAGTTTTGATACGATTGTACATTTCAGTAAGGTGAAATTCAATACAAAAACATGGATCATGATACATTCATCCCACCGTCAGGAGACATATATTGTGAATCTTTGTAATTACGACTCTAAATTACAATGGTTGATAAGAAAAGCTGACTAAGTATAGTTGGATATGAGCTAGTAGTAGAATCGAACACTCGTATTTTAACCTATTTAAAACTCATAACATGGATTCACATGCATCTGAATATTTGTATTTACACAGATACTAAAACTAAGAGACTTTTACTTCAATTAGATACTCTTTAACCAATGAGTTACTGAGTTTGCCCAACGGGTATAAATTTTATGGGTAAATGTTGAAATTCTCTAATTAGATTCAGCTATTCGTTACAACATAGCGAAAATACAAACCCATATGCAATAAAATTAATTTATTTCAAAGCTTTTACATGATTGAATTCATTTTGTAAAATGTTTCTAAAAAGGATAATCTTTTATGTATAACCATCAAAATAATAAAATAATGTTATGTGTTTCATTCAGATCCATGAACATACCTTCTGATCACTGGATGCTGAATATAAATATCCTGATTCATAATCTAATACAATGGATTGAACCGAATCATCATGTCCTTGTAATGTAGATATCTAGATAATTTCCAAAATAAAATGGATAATATATATATATATATATATATAGATATAGAGGATTAGATTAAAATGGATATAATAAGCTTATTCATTTTGCTCAACTATTATTTTGATGAAGTTTTGTTCTCTGAGGTGAAGCTTTCATCGTTCTTCTGAATGATATCATCAGTACATGTTTCAGTTAGAAGGGAAGTGTTCGAATTTCTCCACATGTGATTCACAGTTTTTCCTGTAGACCTTAATGTTGATTGGTTCTTGTCATTGTTTGCTTCTTTGTTTTGGTTGTATCTTCCATTGGTTTGATTTTCTGTTTGTGATGATGTCATTCAGAAGAATGATGAAAGCTCCACGACTAAACCATCCAGTTTAGAGAACAAAACTCTATCAAAATCATCCACATGTGCTAAAAATGTTCTCCACCATCTCAACTATTATTCTCAATATACTATAAGGTTGAGTGATATTGTATAACTGATTAAAGCATGCATCATTACGTTAAACATTCCCCACTCAATGACTATCCATTCTGATACATGCTAAATTGGTTGTGTGGATTTTCTATCCAATTATTACAATCAAAATAAAGTCACATCGAGTGCGATGGATGAGCTCAAGATTCACTGATTATTTCATGATCAGAATCTTACTAACTAATAAAATAGGGTTCTGTGCAATTTCATGAAATTTTCCTTCATATAATACATTCAGAATTAACTCCGCCTAGAGTCCCTCCGGGGGCTACTGCCGGTCCCAAGCCTGGATAAAGGAGGAGGGTTGGGCATGGGGTTAGCGACTCCATCCCTTAGAAAACTAACTCTCTAAAAAAGAAGCTAACCTGAAAGAATTATTCAAACTATTTAAACTCTGTCCTGCGAGTCAGAAGGCCTTCATTTAGAAGAGTTATGACGCCTCATGATGAAAGCCGGGTTCCTTCGGAAGCCACAACACCGATGCCCTTTCTGACAACCGTGGCAACCATTTATTTAGGTACATGGATCAGTGAAACACACTGGACGAAAATTGGACAACAACGACTAGCTTCAGCTGATAAAAACCATCTAGATACATTAAGAGTGTGCAACAATAATCCAATCAATATCTTGAAAAGCATTGAATTAAGAGTCTTTCAAATAATTTTCGACTGACAAATAAGATGGGATTTCAGGTCTTATCATCGTTCGAACTAAACACACTTAAGATACTTATTCTTATTTAAATCAAGCAGATTTTTTTACTCAATAGTATAACTGACTTTGACTAATGAAAGAAATATGATCTATGTGAACAGTACAGTTTAGTAGTACAGTCAGTGCAAGTTTGAAGTCTGTTGAAATCAATTAACTTCTTTCAGAATTCTACAATTGTAAATCCGAATTCCGGCAGGAGCTGGTAGTGACCTAATTTTATCAAGAGAACGCGATTGGTTAAATGGAAACAATTATTATTATAACCATTTGTACCAGTGATTGTTTTACTGTACTTGTTTGTTTAACTGCACTAAAGACATTCTTCCTTCCGTTGATTGTGACCTTGCACGCACTTACGTCTGCTCAGTTATTCCACTTGTACTGTTTTGGTACGATCTCAGTATTCTCTCGATACCACGGGATCGCCAACAAATATATATCGCTACAACTTCCAATCGCCTTCTGATATCTGGTACACAATCTTCTTGTAGTGGTGATCATAGTGAACCGCGACTCCACCTCACGCTACAAACTCTCATCATGAAAATTTGTTCTATCAAACTATAGATGAATATTATAGAGTTCAGTCAGTCAGTAACAACGTAGAACTTTGTACGTACGTACATCAGTTCGAGTTGGCATACCACATTAGCACAGAGATGCAGTGGTCGATCCAAATCCCGTAGTGGTAGAGGTAATAAGAGTATAAGCAGTAATCGGAAAGATTTGTGTTTGGAAATGTTACTTAAAGAGTAGAATACAGTGAAATAACCGTGAGAAGAGAGAAAAAGAGACAAGGGGGAATCAGGAGATCAAAATTTGGGAGAACACAAAGAGTGTATGCACCTGCGCGATTGCAAACGATTTTCAGCCATGTCATTCAGGGTCTCTAGCGATCGGTTGCTATCATCTCGCGGACCGCAACCAGGTAGTCTACACCTACCAACATGGCTCACACAGTCCACTTGTCAGTGACTTCATGGACTTGTGCCATGTTTTGGTCTGGCCACCCCCAACTTTCTTTCAACCTACTCCTAATATTATAGAGTTACATCAAAATGAACTGAAAGATAACATACTTGACCAGTTGATATTTCTATACAATAAATTTTAGAATCATCACAACCAGCAACAATATATTCACTATTCAAATCAATAACTAATTGATTAATTCCAAATTTATTTCGTTGTTCTAATTGTTTATGTTGTATAGATGTAGGATTTGAATGATGATTAGAATGTTGTTGATGAGGATGATGATGATTCAAACGATCAAATTTTCGAGTTTTATTCAAATCAAAACAAGTAGGCAAACATTTCACCTCCACATTATTATTATTATTATTATTGGGCATTTTCATTTTTAATGTAGGTAAATTTGTTTCAAATGAGAAATTATTGATTTTACGAAGATCCCATAATCGAATAAAACCTCCACTATCACATGATATCACATTGGTACCTTGTTGATTAAATATAGCACAATTGATTGAATGTGTATGACCAAGAAATGTATGCTCACATAAACCCTATTAGGTTATATGGAAAAAAGAAAAAAACATAATGAGATAATATCAATATTGATTATTCTTTGAATAGTATCTATCTAGTTTCTAAGTTGTTATCTGGTAAATCTTGATTAATATATTACTTACTTATTTGCTTATGCCTGTTACTCCTATTGGAGCATCGGCCACCGATCAGCATTCTCCAACCCATTCTGTCCTGGGTATTCCTTTCTAGTTCTATCCAGCTTTTTGTTGATTCTTTTCATGTCTGTCTCCATTTCTCCTCCTAGAGCCCCTCTTGGGATACTGCTGGTCCCAAGCGCGGATAAAGGAGAAGGCTTCGGCATGAGGTTAGCAACCCTATCCCGTGGAAAACTAACTCGCTAAAAACGCTAACCGGAAGAAAATTTAAACTATTTAAAGTCTGCCTTGGGAGTTAGAAGGTTTTCACTTAGAAGTTATGTACATTCCTTGTATATTGTTATTTTCGTGATACTGTTGTATCTGAGCTGAATATTTTAATATTGAATCTTTAATTTTCTTTCCTCAGTAACAACAAACGCTGAAAAGTAATTAATTCAAAGAATTTCACCACAACCTATTGCGTTGAAGGCACTCAACGAATTCCTGATGTATAGCACAAAGTTCACAGAAACAGAAACATAATTGGCTAATAATTTGTTTTGTAGATGTAAACTTAGATTAATTGCTGTCGATAACTTTGATTGACTGTTCTCTTCCCCAACCTGATCTTTGAACCTATGGTTTTATATTAGTACAGTTGTCCACTGGTTAATTCAATTTACTTTAATATCAGGGAGATAACGTGTAATTCGAAGTTTTTATCTAAACAGACAATGATAGTCGAAAAACCTATGTAATGATATCTAAGGGCTGTAGCAAGCATTGAGGGAGGCAAAATCCGACTCGCACGTCCGCATCGTGCTTCCTGCATAAATAGACGAATGACTCATGAACTAACGTGAGTGGTAACCCGGGTGATGGAAATCGGGCTAATCACCCACTCTTACCTATACCCACCAATCGATTACGAAACCCACAGAGAAACAACACAATTACATTTGGAATGGAAAACGAAAAAAATTTCGAAAGCGGTGCATGTATCACATGGAGCTTATCGTCATTGGGCAAACTCCAAAGGATTGCAGAAACAGCTATTCTAGCCCCAGTAGTTGTGCCGTGCTTCGATGTGGCCTGTTTCTCTTCAGAAGGGCCTAATAGGCTTCACAAACTTGTTTGCCTGGAAGAGGGGTGAGCAAGCAGTAAAATCCAAGACAAAATTTTCATCCTATTTGGAATTCATCAATTATGTGTACTCCCATCATTCTGTTAGTAATTACTATAAACATTAACTGATATGCAATAACACTTAGGTAATAAATAAAAAACAAGATCATATCCCTGTCTCGGATACGATTGTTAGCTGTAATCCAGACATCTAATAAAGATTTATAAAGATGAGAAATATCAAGACATATTCTTAGAGAGATCATGTGAAAAAAAAGAACATCTTGTTATCTAGTTCTGAATACGGATACATCAGTTCATAAACTTATAGCTTTTAGTCCAACATCATTATCTACATGAGATGTTGAATAGATAACAGTGAAATAAATCGAATATAGTAGATGTCATCATAAACCAAGATTGATTCTGGGATTACAAATGATAGTGTTGAGATGCTCAAACTATAAGTGATACTAAGATAGATAGTGGCTAGCAGTGTAATCCAGGACGCGCGTTTCGTCCTATTTGGGACTCGTCAGCTATCCATCTTTGCTTAGAAAGCTTGTGAATTAAGGTTATATCGAGGCAATCCGCACAGGATGCACATATGCCAACATGAGACTGATCAATTACAGTCCTAAATAACAATGGGAAGATACAAGTATAACAACACCAAGTGAATTTATAAGTGATACTCTCTAAAATGTTGTTTATTATGTGAATAGACAATGAGATTAGAACTAAAACATAAAGAGGAATCCTGACATGTATCAATCATTGTTCAACTGTTTTCTTCTGATTATACAGAATAAAAAAACACACATAAATTTCATAACAAAGTGTTTTGATCACTTTAAGTATGGATTCTGAAACTCGTATATGAAGAATTTGTTTCTGTGTATTATATGTTTTCATAAGTATACAAACAATCGAAGTTAAATGATTCAATATTATCATGAATATGCACGTATGATTTTGGTGGAGTTTTGTTCTCTGTTCTGGATGGTTTAGTAATGGAGGTTTGATTGTTCTTCGGAACGATATCATCAGCAAAAACTTCAAGTGAAGTGAACTGTTCAAATTTCTCGACATGACTCCCAGCACATCCTGTGGACCTAGATTTTGATTGTTTATTGTTGTTCAGAAGAACGATGAAACCTTCATCACTAAACCATCCAGCTTAGAGAACAAAACTCCACCAAAATCATCCACCTGAGCAACAAATCTTCCCTACCATCTCAGTATGCACTTATGTTTAATTGACAAATTCTTTAGTAAAAACCAACAAAACAGTGTTACTTACCGAACGACCATCCCATAAACACACTGTTCTGTCTGATGAACCAGTAACTAAAATATTTCCATAAGGTAAAAATTGAATAGAATTCACTGATTTACTATGCCCTCTAAGTATTGTACAACATGATGTTGCAGAACGTGTACTTAATAACTCTTTATTCATTTTAAATGACATCATAGCATGTTCAACATTCCATAAACGTATTGTATTATCCATACCGCAACTAGCTAAATAAGTACCAGTCCAATGCCAATTTACAGACCAAACAGCTCCAGTATGTTGACGTAAAATACCAATACGTTTACAATGATTCTGTTCCGATATCTTGTCATCGTTAAGGTCGATTTTCCATATCTGAAATAGAATTTAACATTTATGAATATATATATACTGATGGGCGGCCTATGCTCCTCCACGAGGTGTAACAGGCGTTTATATATATATATATATATATATATATATATATATATATATATATATATATATATATCTGTCGCTTCAAAGTATGTTGTTTCCCAAAACTAACATTCAAGCCCATTCTGTCGATAGAATCCAGTATACAAGTTACATACTATTTGGAACTTATCAGTTTTATATTTCTGTTTATTAATGTTGATTTCCAAACTGAAAATCGTAACCAGTACCCTACTCCTCAATTAGAATCTTCATTAACCATGTTATGTGAATGCTGTTAAAATGCCTGAAACCATAGGAAATGATAACCGAACTTGTAAATGGACTTAAGCTATTTTTAAAGTTGATGAACTATGAACAACTTAATAATGTAATTGTTATGCAGTTATCAACTGTTTACTTACTACTAATACAGCGAGATTATAATTTATGGACGAACCGATAAGATTTACGATGATAGGTCTTGGATTTCAGCGAGAAATTCTTTATCCATTTGGCTAAATAACGTCATGTCATTTTAAATAATGTCAGTTCGTGAGGAAACATCAAATGTAAATCATAATTCTAATTCCTCACACTGGTTTATAACCTTCATTTAGTCGTAGGTCAGTAGGTGGATACTCTCAAGGTCACTCTAGCGTCGCTTAAATGTCGTCTATAAATTATAGTTTCACCACTAATACTTCTTCATTACTTACAGACTACGTGTAATATATTGTCAGTCTCAGCCCCTTATTGTGTACATACATATAAATAGTGTAGAGTTAGGTTGCCTATTAGTTTTTCTCCTTTTAACCTCTGATCACACTATTATTCTCTGACACAGAATATTATAAATATTCCATTTGATGACAATAAGAAACGTAACCAGTAGGGTTTCAAATCATTCACTGGATCCCTTACAATAATGATGATAAACACTACTTTAATTTGACTATTTTAAACCTAGTTAATCCGTATATCTCACACTGTACTAATGTGTAATATGTGTCAACTAGGATTGTGTTCCAGGACTAATGCTATTAAAAACAAATAATATCCATAATCAATTTGGAATTGATAGTGATTTTTATAAGGGAGTTTCGACATATTAAATTTAAGGTTCAACAATGAAACTCTTTTTTTTTGCTTTGAGAAACTAAAGAAGTTATGTTACCGGATTCTGATGAGTATTAAGCTACAGTGACAGTTCATGATTATATCATCTAACGAGTATTATAAATATTGAAATGGTAGTAAAAACGTGTCACTTAAGTAATAAGGGTTTAGTATGGAAGAGTTTTTCCGTAACATTTTTATTGACCCTATAGACAACTTGATTAATACAACAGAAGTCTTAAAGTACATTATAAATTGTTTCAGAAAACTTTCTTAATCATCACTGTTATTTATTTGAACACATTGATTGAAATTAAACATTAGCTCAGTAGTCTAAAGTCTGCGTGCGTAGATCGATAGGTCCTGGAGCCGAGCCCCGCGTGCGACGACTTGGACGCGGCACTGCTGAGAAGTTCCTTACTGGGACGAATTACTGATCTAGTGCATCCAGGTTCTCCATGGTGGTATAGCTTCAATTAATTCATGAAGTCAATCATTAAAGTACTGAAATCTCCACAAAATCCCGTTATGATAATTATCGTTTTCTGTCAATATTTACTTACTTACGCCTGTTACTCCTTGTGGAAGAGAATAGGCCACCGACCAGCACTCTCCATCCAACCTATCTTAAGCAATTATTTCCAGCTCTTTCCAGTTGTTATTCATCATTTTCGTATCTGCTTCTGTTTCCCGACGTAATGTGTTATTTGGCCTTCCTCTTTTCCGCTTTCCTTCAGGATTCCAAGTTACCGCTTGTCTCGTGATGCAGTCTCAAAGAAATTTCTTTTTAATTTGTTTCTAACCTGAGTGATATCCAAATACTAATCCTGTCGTGTTACGTTTACATAATCCTCTGTTTATCATCGTAACTAGAACATCACCTCCTCCCCAATACCTTACATTGCACTATTATGTTCAGTTCTTCACATAACGATTTCTTTTGGTTATGTTTCTAATATTCATACGAACTACACTAGTTATGTAAAACATTTGTTTATAAGTATATTAATAATTGTACATTCAAACCGCTTGCAGCTGATGAGAAGTAACGAATTTATAGTGAATTGATTTTATCCTGAAAAAAATGACTTTTTTTGTTACTCCGTTTAAATTTATCAAGGGATCTGGTTACATAAGGATAATTTCCGTTAAATCTTTCGAAGCGTGTCTGATCACATGATTGAGATATTTTGACGCAAAATCGAAGTTCACAAAACAATAAAGCGGTCCTCAACTTGTGAATTATCTGTGTTGCTTGGCACGTCTATAATTCTGAAATAAATAGATGCTTCGATTGTGCAAATGACAGTTGTTAGTGGTGTCTAATCTTTATAATAGTTTATCAACAAACAAAAACAGAACCAAGAGCAAACATTATAGAAACCGTTGCGTTTAAACAAGGATTAAACAACTATGCAAAATTGTGAACAACTGCTACAAGGATCGAGAGAAATTAAGTAGAATGATAAATACAATAAATGTTATCGGTACATATGAGTATCTCAGAATATTACACGACAAACTTCACAATATACGCGTAGACATTTCAAGGAATACAACTATTTACTGAATATTAATAAGTAGTATAAAACTATACACAAAATAGTCGACGGGAAATGCATAAGGACAGAGAACGTAAACAAACTTAACTGTGTTGATTTGTCAATTATCCTATAGACCTCACTCAAGAAATGCACAGTTTTCGGCATCTCAAAAGTCAATCACTTCATAGACTAATGTAGTAGTATATTTTATCCACTTTTAGTTTTCTACCATCCTGTTTATTAACTAGCCAAGATTATACATTGAGATGAACTATTGTGTAGAATATGTAACATATATCCTAGACAATTCATTCGGCGAAAATTCATGGTTTTACTAACTGACTTAGCAAAATCAAACAACAATCAAACGATGTTTCATCATAATTAAAATCCCATATGAAACATACACTCACTCGTCTATAGAAATGTCCAGTCACTAAACTGATGATGATTCAAAGTATCTATAAATTTTAGCCTGTGTTATTTGTTACTACTGTACCATGCATCATTTCACATTGACTACAAACTTGGCGACATTATAAGCAGAGATTATTATGATTCGTACATGATGCCTATATCCCAATAAGAGACTGATCAATTGCTATCCTAAACATCAGTGAGAAGATCCAAACAACCAATACAAAAAGTACATAATCCTATTGATTTTGTGGAAAAGCATTTCTATAAACATGTAACAGACTACTAACTAATTATTTAACATTGAAACTTAGTCATCTTCGATATCATTCTCTCAAACTTATCAACCAACTCTATTCAGCATGAGGGTCAATACATATTACTACCTGATAATAAGTTCATTATCATATAAAGGCTATTGAACAGATATAGATGGTAACTGAAAGTGAAATCTCGGACGCTCGTTTCATCAGATCTGGGACTCATCATCAACCTATGACTTAAGGTGTTATCATAGTAGTCTATACAGGATACTCATATACCAATAGAGATTGATCACTTACAGTTCATCATGGAACAATTCAAACAACAGATACAAATGAATTAAAGTTATTGAGCATTTACTTTGAGAAAAATGAACTCACTTGTATAGAACCTTGAGCATTTCCTGTTGCTAATATTTCTTCTTTTGGATGAAAATCAATTGATGATATCCAATCATTTGTTATTAATTTATATTCCATTAATAATTCTAATTTTGGAATTTTCCACAATTTCCATAATTTATCATCACCAATTGAACATAACCATGATTTATTTGAATGAATAGCTAATCTAAAGTTTTATTTTAACACATAGATACAAAAAATGTTTACTATTTAAAATGAATTAAGGTAAATTTATTTTATTTGAACATAGAAATATTGGTACAAAGGGGTACCGAATGCATATGCGCCAAATAAGTCAATTGATTTGTGTGTGGTCTGGGATACTGCCCGGGTGCCCAAATCGAAGCAGATGTTTTTCTTAGAGGGCTACACTCCGACCATTCGACCTAGAAGACCGATCCACAAGGCAGTGGAGCAACGTAAGGTGATACAGTCCCATGTTAGCCGGTGACCAGAGATTGTTTTATATGCCATTTATTCCTTCAAAATTCTGGAGCCCACGTACATCAATGGTTTGGAATCAGGGTTTTCCAAATCCTCATAGGTGGATCCTCCATATCCATCAACCCGGTTAAAGCGCCGGAAATTCGCTTTCTTTCCTCTCAATGTCGTAAACAATAGTAATGCCGTGGGAAGGCAGTGAGTAGGACTTCCATGGCAGTGGCTGCATACTCGTGCCCATGTGAGAGCATTTGGAGATGAAAAGAAGACACCTCCTCACCCCTAGCTATACGAGGGCATTCGAACAAAGATAGATAAAGTAAAACTTTATCTGTGATCTTCTGTACACTATAAATAAAAATAATATATTTGTAATATCCCAATGAGTAGAAAATTGGATTTTCTGACGTTTCGTGACTTAGTGTAAGTCACTTCTTCAGAGAACAAATAACCAAAATTCTGTACACTATGTTGAATTGTGTCCCCCATTATTTCCAAATCCAATTACTTTACAATTTGAACAGATGATGAGAATCTAGTGAAATAAATTTACGTTATTATACCCAAATCACCGTTATTGGTTCTTCTTTTCTTTTGAAGTTTATTCACGATAATACGTATAAGAAGAGATATATATTCGATCGTATATCGAGACACTTTCCAGTAGTACTTATCCATAATTGTATATGGAATGGATTGTGAAACTTTCAAATTTAATTGCTAGTACCAAACATTTGAATCATTGAGTAAGTGTTCGATGGTTCTAATGCTGGTAGCAAGCCCGGATAGAGGAGGAAGGTTGAGCATGGAGTTAGCGATCCCATCCCGTAGAAAACTAACTCGCTAGAAAAGAAGCTAACCTGAAAAAGTTATTCAAACTTTTTAAACTCTGTCCTGGAAGTCAGAAGGTCTTCATTTAGAAGAATTATGACGCCTCATGATGAAAGCCGAGTTCCTCTGGAAGTCATGAGGCCGATGCATTTTCTGACAACCAGAGCAACCATTTATTTAGGTAAATGGAATACTCGTACAATGTGGGAGAGGTGATTGGGATCAATGAAACACATTGGACACAAGTTGAACAATAGCGACTAGCGTCATAAAGTGGACACTCTCAAGGTCAGTCTAGCGTCCTTCAAAGGTTATCCATAAATTATAATTTCACTAACTATATGTTTATCAATATAAAATAAAGTAAATTAAAAATTATTTTCAATATAAAGTTTACTTGCTAATAGCTGCATTATGAGCATGTATACTCATATCTAATTTTCTATTATCTAATCGTGCAAATTTATATGAATGATTTGTAAGTTTTGCCAATAATGGATTCACTTTATAATCAATAGATAAATCACAAAATCCAATCTAAGGAAATAAAACAAGAAAAAGAAATTGTGCTTTTAATGATCATAGAATACAATAATAATGGTTTATTGTATCATTACTTCGTTTTAGTACGAGACCCCTTATCAGTGCACACCTACGACCACGTTCGCGAGATTCAAACTCAGGACCGATTGGTCTCGTGTGTGAACGCTTCACCTCTTGATCAATGAGCTGGTATCCAATGGTGTTAATGTCTAACTTTAACCAATCCAAGAAATTGTGCCACTGTCCACCATTGTCTTCAGTAAGTTAATATTTCACAACAGACACGGTTGAACTCTTCCGGGTACGACTACTCACTAGCCAGTTTCAACAATTCTCAATCACTTTATTTGTAACTAACTTATGAGAAATTCGATATTTGCAGCTAACTTGTATGCAACATCAGCTGGTAGATATGAGTATAAATAAATAATCTATGGCAAATCAGAACATTGAGTCTAGAGCATGTTTTTTACGTATAAACACATGTTTAAATAATTTCTCTTATCTCTTTGTCCAAAATTAACATAATTATTACTTTTCACTTAGTATTCACATAACTTCAGGAAATCATCTTGAAACCAGTCACTAGTGAGTACATGATGATTGTGGATCGTGGATGAGCACTGCTAAGGAATCACATACTAGTATGAAACGGTCATCCAGTTTTTCCAGATTTTCTATAGCAGTCTAGCTTAAATTGACTCATGAATTCAACTATTAAAATGTTAATTACCCAAAAAGATTAACGTTGTGAGGTTTTAAGGAGAAAAAAAGGAGAAGAAATGACAAACGGTATGCAGACAGATCAGTGAACAGAGTGAATGATGCATATAATTTTAACTTGTAAATATGTTATAACGGGACTCACTGTCAGTGCCTACTCACGGTTCCATTCGTGGGGTCCGAAATCAGGACCTATCAGGTTGCACAATTTTTTGATGCATTAAAATGAAATTTAATTTATTTCAAATATTATTTCAACTCTGGGTGACATGGCTCAGAATCGACCGCAATGATGTAGGTGTTTACAATCTTTGTCTTCACTTAAACAGTGAGATTAAAATTGCTTTATTGATAAGTCTCGCAAATTGAACGCTATATTCAGTTCCTAAGCTGTTCTCGTAACCTTCAAGCTAGAACTATACAGCGACCTGAAGACCAGAGAGAAGGCGCAAAGTATGCAAGAAGTACTTTACTCCAAAGGTTCATTCTAATACAGAAAATATAGGGTTTTTTATAATGTTTTAAATGTCTTCGGGTTGCTCGAAGATTCTGGGATGCTACTAAACATAGTAGCAGTATAGCAATCAGCCAATCAGAGCCTCTACATGTGATGTTTCACTTCCTTGATGTTTCTGACTAAAACTTAAAGTAAAAACTGATTGGATGTAATGCTTCTTAGTGTTTCCTGATCCTTGCTTGTCTTTTGCGAGGAATTTTCTGAATCGCCTCAACATTTATATCTTTCTTTCCACGAACTAATTCTTTCTACCTGTACTATATCCTTAAACACAATCTTTCTTTTATACAGTACTACCTTTGAAGTGACTACTTTTATGAATTTGGTTTTCATCTTGTTGTTCTAATGAGGTTTGGCAACTTGGACTGATGCATATATGTACCTGGTCCTACTTTGTAGCTGACTAGGTCAACGTTGTCTTCTGAATGTTTTATCAAAGCTTACGACAGGGTCAATTGATTCAAATTTAATTTTACTATTAACTTATGCTTTCTATCCATAGATTTTACTTATTCTTTACAAACTATATTGCTTGAGTTTAATATTTTACTTTATTTTCTTGATATTTCGAAATGATTAAACTTAAACAATCACTGAAAACCCGAAAGGCATTGAATATATGAAATTAGAGTTAATTTACACATGTATTAGGTTTCATATTGGTAATAAATAATAAACTGATATATTGCAACATGTCATTTCTTCCCTACTTTAGAGTTCGGTTTGATCATTATTTCACTCTGTACTAGATTACATTCATTTACTCATCTCTGTTACACCATTTAATTCAATAAGCTAATGTTCATAGATATTTTGACTAATCTCTGTGTTATACAACACATAGTTTTCAAAACGTCCAGGTTACTGAAGTAGAACTCAAATTGAGTCCGTATGTATAAGTCTGTTAAAAAAAATCAATAGAGGATTGAAAGGTAGAGTAATAAACCACTTCTTAAAAACAAATAATCTATTTGAATATTTTCTCAATAATAAGTTTCTATAAACGGGCAGTATGTATCGCAAGATAGTTTATATATGTATGTCTATTTACTTTTATGATCAAACAAAAGTTTTTCTCAAAAAGCAACTATCAATGTCTTACCCTTTTCAAATTATGACCCAGTTTAGTTTGGATATTAAACTTTTCTGATCTCATATAATTCTTTTTACACGTTGGATCAGTTTCTTTTTTATTCTCTCCACTTGTTGTATTTTCCAACCTTTTCTCAGTTATTTTATGATCCAGATCAACATTTTCAATATCGTTTGCATCATTCGACGTTATACCTAATTTTTGTAATGAAGTTAAAGCATGTCGTAGTCCTTCAACTTGGTTCATAGCTTTGTCTCGTTCAATTCTATGTAACGTTTTTTCTTTCATTGCTGTTTCATATTTTTGTCTTAATAATCTTAAAATTGGCTCATATTCGGCATAATGTTCTTTTACTCTAATCAATAATTTTAAAAACGTTAAAGTTAAAACAATAATTACAAACCAAGATTTTTATGAATTAATTGTTACATTTAACTTTTTTTAGTTTAAAAGCGATTTCCATAATAAGCTAGTATTTTGGAAGGAACTTAAAAAGGATCGCTTGTTCCTTGTGAACTTAATTTTCTTGTAGAGTAGGTAGGGTAACATTCATCCAACTAAAATGAGTGTATACCGCTTTTTAGTTGTGAAGCACGGTCTACAGAAGTAGAAGGAACTCATAGACTATAGATGCTTGATCGCAGCTGTTCTTAAAGTATTGCTTGTGTTTAGTGAAGTGATCAAGTGAGTAATGTTGATATAAGATGCAAGGTACTAGGTAAAGGCAACAAATGGTCAGATTGTGATTGATTATTTACTGAGGTGGTCAAGATATGTGTTAAATATGTCCAACCATCGCCTACCTATACAGGAGATGTTACTGGTTTGGACGTAGGTTTAGAGTAAACCAAAGATGAAAAACTGAGTCATAGTACCCGTCTATGGATTCATTAATTTTTGGAAAGAGATATGCTTGTAAATTCAGACTACTTAACTGGGACACATGTGGTCACTGCGGTTATGAGTTGAAAATTTCGGGTGATATGACTCAGAATCATTCTCAGTGGTTCAAATGTATTCACTTTTTATCATCGTCGATCCTAATTCTCAGCATTTTTCCAAAAATACCTTTACACGCTGTCTCTACGAACTATACTTGCAATCCTTAATTATTTCGATCTCTTTCGGTACTCATCTCATTGTGCCAAATTGGCATGACAACCTGAACCAACAATACCTGCGTCAAGCGCTACCCTAATGAAAACAGAGCAAGAGACTAAGCAAACATCTAGGGCAATTAAATAGCAAAAATCTGTTATGATTCTAGTCCGAGGTGCTGTTGATGAATTCCTGTGTATAAAATTCAGCAATACAGCAATGTGCATCTTTTACCATACACATGGTTTCAAAATGTGCTGGAAGTCAAACTTATATTATAAGTGGTATTTATACTATTTGGATAAAAAATTTAAGTTCTTTAGATTTAGTTAAGATTTATGGTTTACCTATGGGATAAGTTGTGAAATAGTCGAGGCTAGGAAATAGAAGTGAACGCTTAGGTTTCAAATGAGAGATAGAGACGCCGTAGAGAATTTGCTGTCACCTAATCGAAACTGCCCCCAAAATCCCTAATTGTTTTCTTACATTTTACTGTAGCAGTGAATTGTATAGCCATATGGTTTATCCCTGCTTAATAAATTCGTAAATTTATGGCAGACAAAGATTAAGACCTGGTTCATGAACCCTACATTTTAGTACTACTGTTTTAACGTATGACGTACGGGAAAAGACACCACTATAATAATGCGAACAATGGTCCATAGCACATGAAGTTTTTTGCTATTAGTTAACCATGAAACACAGTTTTAAATTTATCAGTAAATAAAATCTTGTCAGGACCGATTAGTTTGGTATCTTTTGTGAACAGGGTTTTGTAGCCATGCAGGTTTATCATGTCTATGGAATTAGGCTCTATATGAAAAGTGTTAAAGGTCACAAAATCATATAAAGTCTAGTAGTGCTTAAAGAAGACAAGGATTATTACACGAAAGATAATGAAGTATTATACAAAGTACTTAAGATCTCGAAAATGGTTAGAGACTAATATGTATACCTTTTTATGTCACAGTGTAGCTTCTCTTTATCTTGTAACGTTTTTCTGTGTTTGATCATATGATAATCTCGTTCATTCCTAACTTTTTTCAACTCATCACTTAGCTTCCTATATAAAAATAAATAATAGTTATTTGGAAGCTTAAAATTACAAAACTGAATTTTTCAAAGTCAAATTTTCTGATCTTATATCTTTTATCGTATTTCTTAACTCATCGTTCAGTATATAAATATCAGGAACTGGGGCAGCTTCTTTATTCAATAAACCTTTATGCAAGAACTTGAACCTAAAAATCGAAATCGAAAAAATATCAAACCATTCTGCCTGGAAGACATCGAGAGTCTCAAGAAATCCATTGTTTTGTAAGTAATTACGGAAAAACTGATCAACAGATGGGGGAGAATCTTGAGAATGAACATCAGAAGCGAGTCCATAAAACCTTTCCTAAACCACGGTTTTTAAAATTTTGAAGCTACCTTTGCTTCTGAGTCTTTTATCGTGTCCTTGACTCTCGAGACAAGTGGATCAAGTTCATCATCTTTCAAAGTATCTGGTAAATCTTCGATTTTAACCGATACTATTGAAGATGCATTGTCATCTTCAGGAATCTGTTCGCCTTTTACGAATGCATATTTATTAAAACTAACAAAATGTTACTTTCAATGTAATATTTGCTGTTATCGATGTCCATAACTGTCGCCTATCTAAATTCAAGTTTTATTTACTGTTTTGAAAAGTTACGTGGTGTAGCCATGTCAAAATTAAGGATTAGTATTTTAAAACAAAATTAAAAGGACAACAACAAAACAATGACTCGCAAGGTGCCATAACAATAAGTCATTTGTTAAACTATTTACGTATACTTGCGATGTTATCATATATCTTACTCTGTGCACAATCAGAACTTTTGGAGCCTATTGATTTTTCTCTGATATTATCGTGTTTTGTTGTTAACGAAATATAGACCCAGCGAACTTTCATATATTATTATCGACTTTATGTGCGTTAGTTAATAAGCAAACGAAACAATTGAAATACAGAAATAAATTTTGGATTAAAATCTGGATTTTGAGTGCTCTCAGTATATCAGTAACACCCGATTGAAGATGATTCTCTGCTTTGTGATGTCGATGAAGTGGTAAATAACTTACTGTAATAACTAACCTCATAAACACCTAAAGCTGGTAATACCACAGTCAGTTTTGATGGAGACTACTGGCTAACCTCTACCAATTCCGCATCATCTCCAGATCACTGAGTGACTTTATGAGCAATGATTGTCGAAATGACACGAAATATTCGAAATCGAAACCGACACAAATCCCCAATACACAAGATTCCAACGGGCTTCTGAGCGAAAATTGTGAGAATGAGGGAGGAGGCTTATCTGATTGATCTGACTTGCATGAACAAGTACTCGTTTATATATATATATATATATTCCCTTGATAATCAAGCTCTTCCCTTATCAATCATGTGCACTGGTTATAAGGAGATTATTGATTGTGCCATATTTCATTCTCATTTGGCGAATTTCGATTCATCCATAGAAAACTTGGAAGTCTTATTCTCCTCAATTTATAACTAAGACTAAGTTTACTTTTCTAAACAACATGGAGCACCCTTTTATTTCTGCTGGAATTTATTTATGAAAACTCTGTAACGATTACTTCTAAAGTTGTCACACTCAGTTTGGTTTTTGAGTAGTAACTGCTAGGAATTATTTATGGAACATAATTACACATAATGTTATCAAACAATTATTGTTATATATATATATATATATATATATATATATATATATATATATATATATATATATATATATACATATATATATATATATATATATATATATATATATATTCTTGATTTGTTCCTAATTTACTGGTTACAGTTTCTCATACTCACAGCCACTTTTGACTTGATGTTGTATAATTGTTAGTTTGATTCTAAATATGCGGTCTGGTCTACATGTGTATTAACCACGAACATTTGAAATATACGATTTATATAACGGGCGCTGATGAATGTGTTCTGGAATGAATAATCTGCGTTGTGCGACAAACCAATATAAATAAGTCCGTTAGAGTTCGGTGCTGACTCAAAGCTGGTCGTGCCGGTTAACGCATCATTGGTTTTGCGCAGGGACAAGATCATATAAGTTTGTGTTTTGGTCGGCGGTTTAGTCACGTGATACCCGACGTGTTGTAGAATTATGGCCTACTTCGTTATTAGTACTGCTCCAATTATGGACCTAATCCTATAATTGTAGATGACAACATAATCTATAAGATCTTAAGTGGAAGTTACACTAACTCATCGTATTATAATAAAAGGCCGTATGAATGACGTTCCAAAAGAACACTGACTGGATTCTGAACAATGTACTTAATATGAATAAAAGAGATATGTTACACAAGAGTGATCAAGAGTGCAAGGCTGAGTCATGCCATCCGATGAATTGAATTACTGTTCCCACGTTCTCCATAGTTAACCGTCTCTTCGTGCCAGTTGCTGAATATAAGTCTTCTCAGTAATTATATGCTCGGCTTCAAAAGCCGTGTGGCTAGTGTCCAATGTCACTACAGGTTCATGGAGCATAACAGGTCAACTTGGTTTTTTATATATTTTTGTTTTCTGTTTGCAAATACGCGTTATATTATGCACTTAAATCTGTCTTATTGCAACAAAATCTTTAATTAATTTGACTTACAACCCTAACATGCCCTCACTCTGCGACTTATTGCTTTTAACCAGAAGCTACATTCTAGGCTGTTTGGTTTGTTTAGAGTATCAACAAGCAGGTTTGCCTTCAGACTTTCGAAAAGCGAAAGTGTACGATGCAAACAGATTTGCAATGATTGTGAATACTGCTATTCAAGCAAGCTGGAATTTTTTTCAAAAGTGGTCGTAGACTTCGTATGCAACAACCTAGACTGATCGGTGGATCTGTCAACACAATACATACAGTCCGTCACTTTTCGGCTCGGGATAGTGAGTGTTTACTATGGTAATAGTGTTTTGAATATCAGTCTTATATTAACGATTGTAGCATGCTTATAAAAGACTTTGTATATGCGCTTAATATTCGGAAAACACTACTACTTATCCTTCACAACGTTTACTTAAGGACAGTTCTAAGGTTAATATTAAGAGGAAAATGTCTAACTTCAAATAATCCACGAAATTGAGCGACACATTAACCATTGTCATCAGTGAGTTACTACTTCAAAACTGACCCGGTTGAACTCCACTGGTCACTGCTTCCCACTAGAACTCCAGGATATATATCTTGAAGCCAGTCACTAATGAGCATATGTTGTTTAGTATCAGAAGGGATTATGTGGAGATTTAAGTAATTTCAGCAGTTGAGATCATGAGTCAATTGAAGCTAGACCACCATGTTAAACTTGGAAGCACTGGATGGCCGTTTCGTCCTACTGTAGGATTATTCAGCAGTTCGCATCCCTGACTTAGCCTCGTGGGATTCCAAACCAGGACCTATCAGTCTCGCACCAGACACTTAACTAACTAGGCCACTGAGCCATTTTGTCTTCAGGATCCAATATAACACCTCAGATCGATAGTAAAATGTTAATAGACACAAATATGGGTTAGAAAATACTTATTTCTATTACTGCCACGAATATTTGTTATGCTTACAAGTGTATCGTTTATAAACAGAATATCTACACAATTAGAATAATGGTGATAGCTTCTACCGATAATCCATAATCAAATACCTGGGAAGGCGTTAAGCACCAAGAATAAAGCGCAAAGAAATCGATCGGTGTACACTAGCTTGTGACAAATATATTAAACATTAGAATAAATGCCAGAGACTTGAAAATTCAGCAACGTCTTTGATTATTTGTAATGATTCACTGAAAATCCTACTTACCACATAAAGAGTCTACATGTTTCTGGGATTACTGTACATTTACTAGTAAAATTTGTCGATTCTTGCATCTTACTTTTTATTCTTCATTGTTCTTGCTCGCGCTTTTAAGAAAACAATTTACTGTATTGAGGAAAGTGCTGAAGGCAGTTAACAATTTTTTTGATGATTCTCATGGGGTTTTTATTTATATTATTGTGGGTTGACATTTACATCTCCTGGCAAATGTTTTCTTATCAGATACAAACTGTCCACTTCACTCACATCTCTTTTCTCTTATATCTTCTAGAAGAACAACATTTCAATACATTGGAATCCATGTACTCAAGTAAAACTATACAATCTCTACAATACTTTATCTAGCAGATATACTCTGTGACGAATAGGTTGTGAGAGCTAACTTAGTCAAGAACTTTTTTCTAATTAAAAGGTTGTACAGATTTAAATCTTCTCAAACAAAATATTTTTCACTCAGTTCGAGATAGTTGATTTGCCTGTTTCTTAACTTATGTGTGCGATTATATTCAGTTGTCACGTGTTATTGGTTAAATAAGGCCAGATAGAGCATGGATGCAGAAAAATATAGTTGTGGGCAGCTGATGGGAAAACACGAAATATAATGAATTCATATTATTTTGCATCCATGTTCTTTCTGACTTCATTCAAATTTATAAGGAGCACTAAATGTATGAAATTGTTGTTGCTTATACATTTTTGTAAGAGGAAATTTTGAAACATTATATGCATACAATTGCAGGTTTCACTGAACACATAACACTAAATAAAGTCATTGATAATAATAGTACTCATATTTTCCACTACAGATCACTAGTTTGTGTGTGTATTGAGATCTGTTATTTATTTGTAGTAGGCGTCGACTCGCGGTTAGCTATAATTAGCACTACAGATCAACTAAGTGCCAGTTAACAGGTTATACTACTTCGCAGGTCAAATACCAGAAGGAAGTTGAAGGTAACTAGTTAAGATGTATTTGTTGGTGATCTCGTGGTATCGAAATAATACCGAGATCATGCCAAAGTCTACAAGCAAGACTACTGAGCGTACGCGAGTTTGTGAAAGGTCACAAAAAACGGAAGAAAATCCTTTTTTATACACCTAATTAAAGAGGTACAGTAAAACAATCACTGGTACAGTTTCTTATCATGATAAAAGTTTCCAACATACGGTAGTGTGGCGTCGAGTCACCTTTGACTATGATCACCACTACAGGAAGATTGCGTACCAGAACAGGCTAAACGTTCGAGTAAACCAGAATTCAGAAGGCAATTGAAGGTTGTAGCAAGATATATTTGCTGGCAATCTCGTGGTATCGAAATAATACCGAGATCGTGCCAAGGGGTACAAGTAGAACTACTGAGCGACCGTAAGTTTGTGCGAGGTCACAATTAACGGAATAATGTATGTATTTAGTAAGGTTGAACAAACAAGTACAGTAAAACAATCAGTGGTACGATTGGTTATAACAATAATTGTTTCAGTTATACCAATCGCGTTTTCTTGATAAAAGTAAGTCACTATAATGCCAACCGCCTTCTCTTCATAAAAGTACGTCATTACATACTGTGTGTGTCATACTCTTGTATTTTATGTATTTATTCGACTCTGAATATACCTCATGTAAATAAATCATTGAAATACAAATAGGTTACATTTTATCTACCGTCTACACTCCCGCTTATTAGTATAGTTAAATGACCTAGCACAATTTGATACAAGTTAAAACTGGATAATCATGTAAATCTCTACGTTCCAATATTATAAGATACTCGAATTTTCCGCTGTTCTGACTGGT